ACGTCCCTACATTATAGAATGAACACGCAGGCGGTTCCGACCGGGACCGGACTTACAGGGTACTTGGCCTCGTAGCCAACCAGGCTGCCTAGGCTTCCCGTGCGGCTCCGTCGTTTCTCTCCCGTCCTCTGGTCACGTCTGAGGGAGCCCTTCCTGCTGATGCCGTCTCGCCGCAGGGAGCCGTTCCGTTTGACAGAAGAGTTAGGGGAGCCACGCTCCACGCTGCGCTGCTTGATGCCCGAGGTCGCTACAGGAGGCGCGTTTGCGTCGACCTCGTTCGTTCCCTGGTCTTCAGCGGGCAGAGACGGCGGGGACGGCGTGTTAGACTCCTTCACTTGCTCCGTCTCTACCTCCATCTCCAGCTCTAACAGCTAGCACTAGCGTGGGACCGCGCAGTAATAGGAGCGCAAGATGAAGGACGTAACGAGAGTCACTGTATACGTCAACAATGCGGAAGTTACGTATGTACGTCGAACGGAAGTGTATTTTACTCCGGATATCCCTCGGTCTGGCGCAGCCCTACCTGGCACTTCATGATGTACTCCTCGTCCTTTTGCCCTCCAGCACCAGTGTCTTTGTCTTCCTCCTCCTCCTCCTCCTCCTCTCCTCTCCTCTCTGGCCTCGTGTCAGATACTGCACTAGGAACTTCATCATGTCCACCTGTCACGTGACTATCATGTGATGTCACATGACTTAGGTCGGTGCCTGACGATTGACCAGAGGGAGACTTCTTGGGCTTGCGGGGTCGAAATTTTGGCCTCCCCCCACCTGAAACTGTGAGACTACGGGCTCTAGAAAACGGAGAGTCCAGTGTTGCCATGGGATACGGAGAGTCCAATGTCGCAATTGAAGACTGGCCGTCACTGGTCACATGACCCGGTGCCTGTGTCACATGATCTCCCTGCTCTTTCTCCTCCTCTCTGTCTGTAGCAGTGGGCTGGGAGACAGCTGGGTTGTCCTCAGACACTGCAGGCCTGCAGTAAACATAGCAAGACAAATCATGTTTGGGCCTGCGTGTATGCATTCTGATTATCTGCACCAAATTGTTTTGCTACATAACATATTTGTCTATATAGCGGCGACTCTCGATGTACAGTGTACATGGTCGCTCGATGCTACATGTACAGGTGGTCGCCTTCTCGAGCCCTCATGTACAATGGACGCTCTCCGATGCTAAATGTACATGGTTCCTTACGATGCCTACATGTATAGACACCCGCGCGACATTCGATGCTACATGTACATGGTCGCTCTCGATGCTACATGTACATGGTCGCCTCTAATCCCGGATCAATACCAGCCACCATGGTTGTTGTACGACCGTATGTGGAAACACAGTGATGGGGAGACACTTCTCTAGGAGTCGGTGGAGAGGATAGCGAAACTAGTTTCTCAGCTGCAAATGGGAGCACCATGGAGGTTGTCACTGATGGTTCCAAACCCCAATAATACATGCAAGTTTCAAAGCATTGTAGCCGGTGATGGTAGTGGACAACACGAGCTCTTGCTTGATTTGTGCATTTTGCATTTGGTTCGAATAAGAAGCTCTTTATGTGACACGGCACTATGCTAAAAAGAGCAGATTTTCCGTCCTGATACATTTGCATGATGAATATGAATATTGGTCGCTTTGCAAATAAACCTGCTATAAAGCAATCTTTCATTGGAACACTGAGACGCCTCATCCAAACATGCAATGGTGTGTGTGTGTGTGTGTGTGTGGGAATGTGTAAGCCCTGCAGCATAGAGCGAGCACATCTCACTGTGTCTGTCTGCGGTCAGCCGCGGTGGTGTGGCTGTGCGAGGGCGTGGCGTGGTGGTAGTTGACGGGGGACGCGGTGAGGTGCTGTCTGGTCCGGAACAGGTTTGGGAGACTGTTTGCTCTCCACAGAGGTCCCTCCAGTGGTCTGTCACTGAGGTCTGGCATCAGTGGCTCCCCTCTCAGTATGGAACTCTCCAGTCCTTCCTACAGTAACCAGGGAGCACGATCATTATCTATACACGTGTCAACAACAAGGTATGGAGAGGTAGACAGGTATGGAGAGGTAGAAAGGCAAGGCAAAAACAAGTCAACACCACACATGTAACAATAGACCATGTGATGCCAAGAGAAAAAAGATGCGGAGCTCTGGACAGCTGTTTCGGCCCTCATCAGCAAAGCATACCGCAACTTCTGTCTCTGGCATCACGAGTTTATAAAGGCAATTTTGAGCACAGCACTTGTGGTTTTGAACTAATGAGATTCATCCCCACAAGGCTTTTCCCAGGAGCAGCGCTTGTGGTTCTGAACTAATGAGCACATGAACACATAATCCAGAAATTCTCTTGTAGGACACCTCTGTAACCAAAACCTCTCGGTATGGAGCTCTGTAGCCCTTCCTACGGTAGTGGGAGGATACCTACACATGATGTGCTCCTATACATGAGGGCCAACAAGCCCGTAACAGCTGTCCAGAGCTCCACATCTTTTTTCTGTTTTTCTCTTGGCATCACATGGTCTAATACCTCCATGTGTACTAGAATGAACACACAGCATGTTGGCAGTGAGTGAATGTAAAATTTCAGCAGTTAATACTATTTAAAGCAGTACGGTACATTTAATAACCCCACTGTCCTTTAACAACTACTGGAATGAAGGAATCAACACAACACACTATTGGCGAGTGAATGTGAGTGTGATATATCAGCAATTCATGCAAATTACAAGCATTGCGGTAAACAGAAAAATCATGCAAATCAGGTCAGTAGGTGGGCTTGCTTCACTTGCCAATTACTACTTTTGTGACCAGATTTGAATGTGTCTGAAATGTACTTTGTACTTTGCCAACCTACATTAACCATGCCATTCACTACAACCCAACAAGTCAAGAGCGTCATACTAGGCACACTACCTGTACCATGAAAAAACATATACAACATGGAGCACACTAGCTATGTATAAAGGATAAGAATTCAGAAACAACCCCAAATCACCCTTCCCCCCAAGTATAAATGCAGATCTTAGTGCACTGTCAATGGCAGTAGTAAGTAACCAGGAAGCTACTGAAGCTCTACTGTCACTTTGAACCAAAAATGGTGGACAATAGCCAGCAATATTGTCATCACACAGAGCTTCACCAATTACCCCATATGTGTAGTTCTAACGTGAAGACGTATGTACCTCCAGAATTTATAATGTGGCAGGCAGTTATTAAATCATTCAAAATACTTCGTCAGTAGCACACATAATTTTGCAAATAGACGTTGGTTTTAAACTGAAATTATAACATTATACAGGATGTCAATATTTAACGGGAGCGGAACTACGAAATACCACAAGACCAACAATTGAAGGGGTACAACTGAGCTAAAAACAGTTTCACTGTGAAGAGGAGGAGGAGGAGGAGGAGGAGGAGGAGGAGGTACCTGTTTAACGATCTCGTCGAGGAGAGAGTGTCGTGATGTGTGTCTGTGTCGGGAAGACATGGTGGAGAGGAGGTCTGGCGTCTGGCCCGACAGGAGACTCATCTCATCGTCGTCACTGGTGATCTCATACTCCAGGATCTTCTCCCTGAGAGAGACGAGAGGTTGTGTTAGGTGAGGTGTGGGCTATACCACGCTCTACCATTGATCTCATACACATGCTCTGGAAGACTATGTACATAGTGGTTGGGCACTAAGCAACCACATTTGTATGAAAAGAGTCGTTTCAATGTGGGCATTTTCTATGGTGTTATTGAGCTTTGTGATGTCAACCAAAATAGTTGTAACGCAGAGCCACAACAGCATTTTTAACCCTTGGCACGCATGCGCAGCGAGGGTTACAGTACTTGGTTTGTCCGTCCGTCTGTTACCAAGTTTTCTGACACCACGCGCAACAAACAGGTAAAAAAAGCGACACCAATGGGGGTTCAGCGCTACACTGGCTTCATTTTTTAAATGGTGAAGTTTCGTAAAAGTGCCGCGTTCAGAAGTTATGGCGTGAAAAGCAAGTGAACAAGCCAATATGCAAATTAGCACAGGCTTACACGTTGTTTACTGGTATCAAGCAAGAGCAAGCAGCCTGTGACCAAGAGTAGTAATGGCTAGCATTCGGCTCTATAATTATGCTGCCCTGTCTAGGCTGAATGCTGATGTGGCTTTCCGTTACAACTGCCAAAGGTGTGGTTGCGTTGGAGGGTTTCTATGGCTGAAATGTAATATATCTTTTCCCCCTATAACTTAACCCAACCCCCCAATTTCCCCTCTTCAGTGTTATTAACCCTTGCCTGCGTGCATGCACAGCAAGGGTTATTGCAGTCGGTCTGTCTGTGTGTGTACGTGTGCGTGTGTGTGTGTGTGTGTGTCCGTCCGTCTGTCCACCGTTTTTCTCGGTAACCGCGGCAACTCTGAGTGTACGTGGACATATTATCAAGTAGGAGGTATGCATGGTAAAACAAGATTCTGGAGCGGAGAAGGCCAGAAAAGCTGGCGAAACAAACGGCTGCCGAGGTGAGTGTGCGTCAAATAGAGATAGCGGACGATTGCTGTATATACTTATGTAGATGCTAGATGATTTGCACGTGTGGAGAATATTGGCTGGTCTGCCTGTATTGATGGTTTAACAAGTATTCAAGGAAATAATACCGCTGAAATTATTAAAGGAGAGCAGTCTCTGATCTTCTCTGACACAGCCAACAATTGAACCTCCATAATCAACAGTGGCGAGGGTTATGCACTTTCAAGTGCTTTTCATGTTATACAGTCAGAAATGTTGTTGAAGGTGATGAAGGTAGTTCAAAATACATTACTATACACACCACTGGTGTCAGTGGTTCATAGCCTAACATGTACCTAGACACACAGGTCTGAGCAATACTGAAAATTCTTTGTGACTACCAGGCAATAGTGCAGGTGTGATTTACACACCAGAGAACATGGAGTATACTCACTTTAGCTCAGAGATTTCTCTCTCATACTCTCTCTTGATCTCCTGTAGCTCCACCTGAGTATCTTCAAAATGACTGAGGGAGGGAGGGAGGGAGGGAGGGAGAGAGGAAGGGAGAGAGAGGGAGAGGAGGGAGGGAGAGAGGAAGGGAGGGAGGGAGAGAGGGAGAGGAGGGAGGGAGGAAGGGAGGGAGGGAGAGAGGAAGGGAGGAAGGGAGGGAGAAGGGAGGAGGGAGGGAGAGAGGAAGGGAGGGAGGAGGGAGGAGGGAGGGAGAGAGTGAGGGAGGAAGTCAAAGAGAGAGAGAAAAGAGACAGAAAATGGAGTCACCACAACCACCAAACCATAGCCAGCAAGCAAGAGGGGAACACATGGTGGAAGCATACGTATGTGCATACCTGGAGTGCATGCTGACATTCTCTGAGGCCTGTTTGTTTAGTTGTTCCATCTCTTCGTGTTTCTTCATCAGAACTGCCTCCCTTGCCTCCAGTCGCGACTGGAGATATGCCTTCTCCTGCACAGACACAGCGAGAGAGGTAATGAGAGGAGGGAGGAGACAGAGATGGCTGCCCACCTGAGACAGAACCTCAAACTGCTCCTCCAACTGTGTGTGTGCATGCTGACCGGCCTGCACCTCACTCTCCAGCTGAAGAGCAAAGTTGCACACACTTTCAAGTCGAGAACTTAGCTGGACGAGAGAGAGAGACGTAGTAGCTCTCTCACGTTAGCAGTTTTGCCCCTCCCTCTCCCTCTCTTCTCCCTTTCTCCTCCCCACTTCCATTCACCTCCTTCCCCTTCCCCCACCTCTCTTTATCACGTTCTACCCTACTACACTGTACATGCATACAACTGTACATAGAGCATGAAATTATAGTTACATTAGAGTGGGCCCTGACACACTCTGCATTCACTATCCATTTCCTTGCATTCAACATCCCCTTGACTTCCAGCTCCCATTCACCACTACCAGGCAAGGGCCGAACCACAAAAGGAATCCCTAATCTACAGTACACTAGAGTACTGCATAGTACACAGTGTACACCTGTACATATTACATACCACACATACACCCCTATTACACTTTCTCGCTCTGCTGCTAACCTCTTGAAGTTTCTGTTTGACAGCAGTGAGTTCTTTCTCCCTGTCTCCCAGTCTTTGCTCCAGCTTCAGTTTGGTCTTTACCTCTGTTAGCGCCGTCTGCACACAAAGACACATGTCATTCTACCATACTAACACACAGCCATGCTCAAGAATACGGCTACACCAAACACCAGGGAAGCCTAGGGCCATGTGGTATAGTCAACATTGAGGCCTTAGTTGTAGGTACCATAGAGACAGCACTGCCCACAGCATGGGGAGAGCATGGTCACCTATACCTGTATCTGAAGGTGTGTGTTGGCGGCATTTAGTCGACTCTCCATCTCCTGGTCCAACTCCAGAGCCTCTTGCTTGGTGGCCTTTCTCTGGTTCCTGCGTGAGTGTGTGTGTGTGTGTGTAGTGTGTGTGTGTGAGGAGGGAGAAGAGTAAGGGAGGAGGATAAGGGAGTAAGTGAGGGGAAGAGAGAGAAAGGAAGGTTAGTGTGGATGAGGGAGGAAAGAGTGGAAGAGAAGAGTAAGAGTAAGAGATGAGGGCTGGGGAGAAGAAGATTAGAGAAGATGTAAGTGGTGGCTCACTCCAGGGCTCTCTGGGCATGCTCCACCTCTTCGGCCACTTCACCGACAAATTCTTCAAAATCCACCAGGAGCTCGGGGTTTGTGCCGGCCAGACTCCGCCACAAGGTGACAATACTGTGCCTGAGAGGAGAGAGGGAGAGAGAGAGGAGAGAGAGGGAGAGAGGGAGAGAGAGGGAGAGGGGGAGAGGGAGAGAGAGAGAGAGAGAGAGAGAGAGAGGGAGAGAGGGAGAGAGAGAGGGAGAGAGAGAGAAGAGAGGGAGAGAGGAGAGAGAAACAGCAGCAAGAGAACTAGAGTGAGTATTATTTCCATACAAAGGCAATCCTGGTACTTTGTGGCATGCCAAATTACTCTCGGCCACAAAGTGGCCATAATATGGTCGACTTCAAATCAAAAGTCTACCTGGACTGCTGGAGACTCTATAATTCAACATAAACAAAGGTAAAACGTTGATCATATACTGTGGATACAAGGGTACGCTAAATAAGAATCAACTCAACACCTGTATAATTTGGTGATGGTACATAAGTAAGAGTTCATACTTCTTGCTAAGCAACCACTAAATGTATTGTACACCTCTAGCATGGGTGTATATAGCCGGGCTAACTGGAAAGGCACTTGTGTATAATGCAAAAGTTACACTTTACACACAAAATAGAAGCACTAATGTCACAAATACCATACATGTATACAAATGCCAAGAGCCAGTTTAGTAACACAGTTCACATACAACAAGTGTAACACTCAGCTGGGTGACCAGCATGTGTACATATTGGTCCTTTGAGACTGCATGTTCATACACTAAAGCCAGGGGGGAACAGATCCACACATTTATACCAGTGAATGTACTATGTACATGGAGCTGTCCCCTACAGCGCCTACCCACGCTTTGTTCTTACTTGTTGTGAGAAGATAGCGTGCTCAGGGAACCGGCAAAGGTTTCAGAGGGCTTCACAGCTGGTTCTCCGTTCTCGCTCGGCCGCTCCGCGCCGTTCATGGCGTGCGTGCCCGCCGTGGACTCGTAACACTCCTCGTCAACCAATCTTCGTCTCACGCTTCCTCTCTTCCTCCCTCCTCCCCTGCCCCGCTGGCCGCCCTGCTCTTGACCAATGCCCAGCAGCAGCGAGTTCCTGTCTTTCCCTGGAGTCGTCGGCGCCTCGAGGAGAAAGCGGGCGAACCCTCCGAGGAACTCGTCCTGAGAGACGCGTCCGTCTCCGTCCACGTCCAAGTTCTCGAAGGCTTCGTCGAGTTGTTCGTTGTCCATGTCAACGTCAAGCAGCCTCCGGAGGTCCTCCTTGGTCAGGGAGTCTTGGTGGTCTCGCCGAATGTGGTGGAACATGACGGACAGGAGCGGGGCTCGCGTACCCCCGAGGCTCGTCACGGAGTCGGCCGGGGAGAGGGCTCGGCCTTGACTGTCGCTTCGCTGCCGTAGAACCGGCGGCCGCCTGGGAGGGCCGTCCATACCGTATGTTACACACCAAAGGTTCTCGACAGCACACAAAACTAGATGTTTCTGCCAGCTAGCATGTGAGAGAACACATCGACCGCGTCGTCACCTCCGCGATCACTTCCTTCTTTCTGCGGCTCGCGTGTAGCGCTGGAAACGGAATAAATTAGCGGGAATTCCTCCACGTGGTTGACCCTCGCGCTGTCGTCTCTGTCACTGTGTGGACACTATCCCCTTTTGTCAGTCGACGGTACGTGTGGAGAGCTGGGAACGCATGTTCGGCAGAGAGAACTCAAGTCCAACTACCACAATTTCGTGCGGTAAGGGAAGAGAGCAGCTGTCGTGAAAGCGTTGCTCCGCCGCCTGCCCCTGTCTGGCTCCGCTGCTATAAAGCTAGCTGTGTGGGTTTAGCTGCCACTGTTTTCGTTCACAGGGAGCACCGAAGTCTTCAGGAAAGAAGAACTGCAGACCAGAGCGATGGACGAGAAGCGCGGGAAACAAAAGAGACGCGACAGAGTTTTCAAAACAAAGACACACAACAGTGCCAAAACCCAGGTGAAGGGCGGCAATTTGTTTACTACATGTCCACTTCTTGACCTTCGCCCTCATACAGACTAAGACTGGTGGGGATGTCCTGGCACAGATAAAGGCTAAAGAAAACATCGTGTGTTTCTCCTACTGCCAGTTTTTCATTCTCATTGCCCCAATTTCTCTCTCTGGACTACAGGTGGCTCCCAACAACGGAGGACAAAGAGTCACCATCTCTCGAGAGAGCGTTCCTTCTCTCTCCACTGTGAGTCACATGTGTGTTTGTTGTATACATATACACATGAGATGAACTGTTGTCTGTTCACATGCAAACAGCAAAAGGTGGGGATATACAACAGAGGAAAGTCTTCTTTGACGGTGTCACGAGTAAGTGGGCCATTTATTATGCCTCCCAGTCATGTTTGCCAAGGTCTTAGAATGACCTAATTCATCAAAATGCCCTCAAAAAGGGGATTTCCATGTATGTATAGTCCACAAAGTATCTATTGTGGGGGTTTGTAAACAAACATCAAACATTGAAAGAATCAGTCTGTAACACTGGAGTAGGTAACTAGTAAAAGGCTAGAACACTGAAGTACGACAAGCTTATGCTCACACTTATACTGATGTGTGTATATAGTAGCAGGCGAATGCAGCACGTTTTTGGCAAGTGCTATTTTGGATTACGTAAAGCACTTTGGTGTGTGTGACAGCGCCGTTTGAAAATCGGGCCAATTGCTCACCAATAACCTCATATGTACCTCCTCCTCTGCACAGGACGGCCACTACATGACATTCAGCCGTCTCAGAAGACGGTGAGGGAGGCTCAGAAGGACCTGAAACGTGTACTGGGCTACAGCAGCGATGAGAAATCTCCCCGGAAACGAGTCTCCCCTCTTTCCGAGGGGGACAGAGACACCGCCTCTTCCTCTTCCCACGTGGTTACTGGAGGACAGCGCCCTGAGGAACCTAAACAATCTGGGTAGGCAGTCAGGGAGGGAGGGAGAGAGAGGAGGAAGGAGAGAGAGGAGGGTGAGTAGAAGAGGGGACAGAGGAGGGAGGGAAAGATTGGAGGAGGGAGAGGAGGGATAAAAAGAGGTGGGGCAGAGGGAAAGAGGGAGGAGAGAGAGAGGAGGAGGAGAGGGCAGAGGAGGTCGGACACGGTCGCGTGAATCATACAAGAATTCCAATTAGCGTGTTAGTGAATGCTTCTGAATGCACAACCTTCAACGACCTATGCTTAGTTTGTTGGCAACACAGACGGAGAGTTATAAAAGGGATCAAAGTAAGGTACTGTGCATTTAGCTTGGCTCTAGGGCTCACGCTGTGAGTGTGACAGAGTTATTAGTATTCTTGCCGCGTGGTAGTGGATAGCTGGGGATAATAGGATTTTCCCTATCTTTCTTTCACATTCGAGTCAGTTGCAAATCCTCTCCAAATCCCACTTGGTTTTGCTACAGCACGCTCTTTGATCTTCCCATATATTCTTTTACGGGGAAGAAATTGCTATGTCAGCATAAATTTCTGGCGCAATCCCTACACATATCCGACCTCATCTGGGAAGAGGGTACCAAGGAACACTAGTGCACCTGCTGTTTATGTTTATCTGTTGACACAGTTAGTTTCGTGCAGCTTTGCTTTCACTTTCCTCTGGTGCCAACACACACAAATAGCTTGTTTAGGAAAGATTGAGGAGGAATGTTTCCAGCTGGCCTAAGGCCTTTTTTCAAGGTGCAGGTATTGGAACCATGTGATATATATGTATGTATGAACAAAATAAGCATAGAGAGAGATGGCATTACAAGAGACTCTATAGAGTGAAACTTTCACTTGATTTTGCCATTTGTTAGCTCTGTGAAAGGTTTAACAGGTCCCTGCTATAGATGTGTGTAGAGAGAAGGGGTGAAGTGAAGAGGTGTGTCTGTCTGTATGTGCCCTCGCAGCAGTGAGATGGATACGTCTCCTGATAAACAGACGTCCACGATGGATGGCGAATCTGTTCGTGCCATTGCTCGCAGGATCACTGGCGGGCTCCACCCACGGATGGTCTACCCCGACTCAGACTATCTCACCAACACAAAGGCAGAGCTGAGGAAACTACTCAAGCAGGGGTGAGTCTCTCCTCTCCTCTCCCCCCTCTCCTCTTCTCTTCTCTCGCTCTCTCTTCTCCCTCTCCTCTCCTCTCCTCTTCTCCCTCTCCTCTCCTCTCCTCTCCCCTCTCCTCCCTCCCTTCCCCTCTCCTCTCCTCTCCTCGTAAGGTTGTGGGATAATAGGGGAGCTAAGTCCCCCCTCTCCTCTCCCCCCTCTCCTCTCCTCTCCCCCCTCTCCTCTCCTCTCCTCTCCTCTCCTCTCCTCTCTCTCTCTCTCCTCCCTCTCCTCCCCTCTCCTCCCCTCCCCTCCCCTCCCCTCCCCTCTCCTCTCCCTCTCCTCTCCTCTCCTCTCCTCTCCCCTCCTCTCCTCTCCTCTCCTCTCCTCTCCTCTCCTCGTAAGGTTGTGTACATTATGCCAGCAAAGAAGTTAAACATAATGTGAATAGTGGGGATAATAGGGGAGCTAAGTCCTCCCTCTCCTCTCCCCCCTCTCCTCTCCTCTTCACCTTTCTCGAACTTTTTGTAGAGAACGCAGTAGTCTTGAGTTTTCGTTGAGTTGTGTTGGTTGGTGTCCTCGGTTAAGGCCTGTCCTTAGAGCGGAGAGTTACACTGTAGTTGTTTAGAGACATGTGGCGGCCGATAAATTCACTAATGTCCAACAACTGCTTGTCATAAGAGACTGTGTGTGTGTGTGTGTGTGTATCAGGGTGGACAGTTCCAGAGAAGCTAAAGCGGACATGGATTCTCTGGTGGCCTGCAGTCTCTCCAACAACCCTCCTGCCAAGTATATACACTGTGTGTTGTGTCGTTGTTCTGTATATTATTATTACAACTATACAACTAGTAGCAACTACGGACTTCTTGCAATTTGTAAAACGTTATGATGGTATGGTCACAATTAGATGGGCCCCACTTTGTTTGCCAATCATTAAAGCAATGTGATGGCACACGTCCTGGAGTATTAAGATGCAATCTTTTTCAGTGCACGACTGCTCCCATGTGGAGCACCTGTGTGGTATGTTATAGTACTTGTCCCTTCCTCTGTCCTCTCCTTCCCTCTCCCTCTCCCTCCCCTCCTCCCTCCAGTGGAGTGTTCCTACTGCCTCCCTCAGTCACAGCAGAAGATGAACCTAACGACTCGTTCTTCTCCCTCCATCTCTACGAGGACCAAACCCCGGTCCAGCCTGACATGACACCCAGTCCAGACTACCCCATGGACATGCTCCAGACTGCTGCTCTCTTTCCCCCCATCTCCCCTTCCCCTGAGGCTGGTCCTCCCCTCCATCTCACAGAGGTCGAACTCACCACCACCTCTGACCATACATACCCTCCTCTTCCACCCGTCGGAGATCCATTCCAAATGGAGCCCACTCCTCCCTCCCCGGCGACCGAACCTCCGCAGGACTTTCTCGATCTTCTGGACACCATGCAGCAGGGGAACGTTGGGGATGACCCTCCTAATTTCCCCTTCCCTCGAGCTCCAGGTGCCAAATGGCTACCGACACCTGAGCGACCACCCATGTTCCGTCAGAAACTCTACTGACCGACCCACTCTATGATGTCATCACAATTCAAGACTCCTAAAGCACGTGCATAATTATAACAGGAATATTTTTAAACCTTCAGTGAGAGAAGATGAATCAGTTCTAATCTCAACGAGTCTTTGCAATGTCGTCCAACAGTGCGCAGGCACCGTGCAATGCATTTCAATGTGGTCATCATTTTGTGAGCCCCGAGAAGTCTGGAAAATAACGTTGTCACCCTATATGACATTGTGCTATAGCTGACATCATGTCTGAAACGTTACCCTATGTTGATGTCATGGTCAAACCAATATTTATTATCAGTGTCATTCAATGTCACATTATCTTATGATATAAAAAACAACGTGAATGTACAATGTACAGCTAAAACGATTTAAAAATATACCACTCGTATTATAGTGCATAATAATTTATGTACCTATAACCACAGGGGCTACCCGGTTAATGGGTTGAAGTTTACACGGATTTTCTCTCCCTGGCTGAGCATGGCCACAACGGGGTAAAATCCACCCCGGGGTACCTCGCAATCCACTTCCCCCACTTTCTCTCCGTTCTTTGTGAAGTAGACGATGCAGGTCCGACGGTCAGGTCTTGCTTCTCTCCCTCTCCCTCCCTCCCGTTGCCTCTGGGCCATCCTTCGCAGCACAGCCGCCTCCATCATCTGCTCCCTCCCAAACGGCCGCCTCCCTCCCCCGAAACGAAAGGGGCCTCCTCGTCCAAGGCCCGGAGGAATCAGGAAAGGGTCTGGGAGCAGCATGTCCCCCAGAATGGAGTCGTCACTGTACGATTCTTCAGAGATGTCCGACCCTTCGCTCTCCGTGCCATCTCCCATCAGTAGTCTCTGCTGTACCGGTCGCTCTAGCTCCACGTCTTGTTCCGTGTCACTCTCTTCACTCTCTGACCCCACCTCCTCCTCCGCCTCCAGCTCAAACTGTACCCCACACCCCATCCGGTCCCCCGCTGTGCACTTTGGCCCAAACGGATCCCCCTGACCCCGCCCCTTGAAGAGTTTTCCGTCGTCCGCGTGGTACCCCACCCCCCCGGTGTTCCACCCGGGGTGTCGGTGGAGTGGGTAGGTGGTCTTCCCGAGTCCAATAGCAACGGCCCCCAGGGACCCCTCCTCGACTATCTCGATCTCAAAGTAGTGGTTGGTGCGATTCACAGGGTAGCGTGACTGCGCTATCCCCACGTCCTGCACCCCTCCCCCCATCCCCGCATACTCCAGCAGTAGTCCGTTGTCGAGGAACCTCACACCGTTACAACGCAGCCATCTGTTCTCGGGAGATTCGTCCTCCTCCATTGGCTCCGTGGCTCCGTCTGCAGTCCTTCTCCAGTGACCGAGGTAGCGCACCTTCTCCCCCACACTGTGCAGCCCTGCGAGGACAACACAACCTTTCAGCACAAACTCAGACTTACACAAAAGCAACCTCGAACCTAGTTGATGTTACAACGGTGGAATCATAGTTGATGTTACAACGTTGGGATCATAGTTGATGTTATAACAACATTCGAATCAGAGTGGGCAGCATGGACTACCATCCGTGGTGTTTCATCACAAAAAAACCTTCATTCTAGCTACTATGAATTACGCAGCGAGAAAAGATTTTGTGTTACACATCAATAGTGGAAGACCTTTACATGTGTAGCTCGTCTTAGCAAATCCACTACAGAGGCAACTGCCATGGATGGAACGATCTCAGAAACTCAAAATGTGTAAGTGCTCTCCCTCAAAATACATATGATGTTGGGTGTTGTCTATTGCCAGTTTACATGGTGGACTGGGTGTGGAAAGAAACGCGGCACCTCGGGAAAATCACCCACAATCTGGCTCAACTACAGTGAAATAATTTTCACAAAGACAACCAAAGAAAAGGTAATATCGGACAGGGGGAACTCCCACATTTTTATCCTATGACAATTGTCTACCATCACGCCATGTTTATATGGTGAGGACAGACACACAACAAATCCTTCAAAACTGGCAAGTAAAAGGATTCCACCTATCCTATATAGCACAACAGATTTCTCTACTAGAACGTAGCAAGTTAGGCAACCTGTAGATGGTTTCTTTTGTTCACCAACACTATTTTAGATGGTCCTGCCTCTAATGCAATTAAACTTTACACCCATGTTCACTCACCAATATCATGCTGCATATATAGTTAGAGTCATAATTACTCACCGATGAGAGGGTATACCCCATTGAGTGGTCTCTTCATCCTCTCCACCTCCCCCACCTGGTTACCGTTCTTGGTGAAGAACACCTCCACCATCCCCCGGTCCAGCCCAGTGTCAAAGGTCACTCCACATCCCATGCGGTCACCGGTGGTACACTGTGGACCAAACGCCCGTCCCATTCCACTCTCGTGGTACAGCTTCCCGTCGTCGGCATGGTAACCACAGCTGTTTCTGTTCCAGCCAGGCATGCGGGTCATGGGGTAACTCCGTTCCCCGCACCCCACTCCAATTGCCGTGTCCCTCCCCTTGTTGACTATCACACACTGCATGTGACGGAGATATAATATGGGTCCATACATTACAGTGGAACCTCTGGACACTATGGGGCCAACGATTTTGTCCATTGTAGAGAGGTTGTCCCTATCTCGGAGGTCAAATAATACACTAAAGTATTAGCATGGGGTTGAAACAAGTGTCCTTTGTAGAGAGGTCGTCCCTATCTCGGAGGTCAAATAATACACTAAAGTATTAGCATGGGTTTGAAACAAGTGTCCTTTGTAGAGAGGTCGTCCCTATCTCGGAGGTCAAATAATACACTAAAGTATTAGCATGGGGTTGAAACAAGTGTCCTTTGTAGAGAGGTCGTCCCTATCTCGGAGGTCAAATAATACACTAAAGTATTAGCATGGGGTTGAAACAAGTGTCCTTTGTAGAGAGGTCGTCCCTATCTCAGAGGGTCCCTTATCAGAGGTTCCACTGTACATAGATGGTGGTTGGGAGAGAGGAAAGGAGAGAGAGGGACGAAAAAGTCTCTTGGAAACAGTGTTTTCAGAAAAGCCTCAGAGAAAACCATTACATCATTAGGGACAACACGTGAAGCTCAAACACTATTTCCCCACATTCCCCATCCCTACTACACTGACTATATATGAACAACAGTAGAGAGTGGCAGGTTGTGATTACACCGAGGGCTAAGGAAAAGACTGAGATGTCACCAAAAAGTAATGCAAGCATATTATTCACTGACATTTGTGCATAGTTTGAACACATCAAGAAGGCATTATGAACCTCGCAACACAGTATGCATAAGGTTCCATTTCCACTTGATATGTACAGGTGTTTTGAAACTGGTGTGGACATGTTTCATCAACGAGGTCAAGGCAAACGCAAACAACACAACCTAGGACAACCCCTTCTTCCATGGAAAAAAAGCTTTCCTAGGTGGGATTCGAACCCACAACACCCAGCACTCCAGACGCGGGCAGACTCCACATACTGTACATGCATACAATGCCAGGGATGCAATAAGCAGCTACGTCCAGGTTCGCCTCATGTGCATAAACCTCCCTTATATGCACGTGCAGTGCTTTGTGCCTTTGCCTTACAGCATGTGTCTTGTGTCCATAAAGGTTTGGGAGGGAGACTTGGTTGCTTCCCTCTTTGAAGGGAATGTGGCAGTATAAACACAAGTGATAAATGTCACTAAAGATGTAACAAAACAATAGGCCTCAGTGCAAGAATGCAATTAAGTTTCGGGTTTTTGGTAACCTTTTCTAAATTGAGCCCTTATACTGCCACATTCCAATCTAGTTTTCACCTCACCTCAAAAAAGCATGACTGTGTTATTCCTTCCCCTTAAACATTATAGGCATGCGATAAGGGACACCAGTGATGGGGCCAACGATTTTGTCTTTGTAGAGAGATCGTCCCTATCTCGGAGGTCAATATATAGCACGAGGTTGAAACAAGTGTCCTTTGTAGAGAGGTCGTCCCTATCTCAGAGGGTCCCTTATCGGAGGTTCCACATACACATAGATGGTGGTTGGGAGAGAGGAAAGGAGAGAGAAGGACGAAAAAGTCTCTTGGAAACAGTGTTTTCAGAAAAGCCTCAGAGAAATACGCTCCAAATACCTTTCTGTAAATGAAAATTGGTTCTACCGCATACTGATACACTAGTGTGTAAATAATGGATGCCTCTGTATAAAGGACACTTTCGGTGACGACCCTAATCCAAAGGTTTCACTCTAGTTGTATACTTCCTTGTACGGTAACTATACTACATAGAGAGGGAGGGTAGGCAGTGTTGGTTCACTCCATCATCTATGACTCCATTAGCTGGGACTACACCATTCACTACCTCAAAGTAGTTGAGGAGAGGACTGAGTGGCTCCAGGAATTTCACAATCCCAGTTGATCTGCCTCCTCCCTGGAACAAGAAGACATCGTCCTCCGACTGGACGGACTGAGCCTTCATGACTCGGCCCTTCCTATGGAGTTTGACTCCCTCCACCGCCTCCCTCTCCTCCTCCATCTCCCAGCAACACACTTCACACTGGGACTGGTAACTGGAGAAACGATGGAGGGATGACGTCACCGTTTCTCTCCCGACATCGTTCTTGTGCGACATGCGTTTTTGCTTGCTCACCTCTGCACGTACTGCGCGGGGGCTGGTGGTGCCTTGTTTTCTCTGCTGCCAGTTTCTGCTCCGTCGTAAAAGAGGGCGTGCCCGTCTCTGCGCTGTTTGGGGGGTGAAAGGTCAAATTACGTACGTGGGCGGAAGAACACTCGCGGCGAGGCTAGGCTAGGCCGGTGTGCGCGCGCGCGCACAGCTGAGCCACGCCTTCCTTTGTTCTTGCAGAGCTCGGTGTACGTGCGCGTACCGCCGGCGACCCCGCAACATTGTACGGAAGTTCGACATCGTGGGATCGAATCGTCTCCACTGGCTATGAAACAAGGACGTCGCTGGCTGCTACAAACGCAGCTCCTTCTTTTCCTCGCGTCTACAGCGACTGCCGAAGAATGCCCGTACCCGTGCGTATGTCACGTGAACGCCGACGCGGCGCGGACGCTGACAGTGGACTGCAGGAACCAAGAGCTGTTCGAGGTTCCTCTCGGCGTCCCAACCACCACCTCTCACCTGTCAGCCACTCGCAGTTCTTGCTTTTCGCATTGTCACTACAATGTTCCTCCTGCAGTGACGTCAGCCATAATAACATTCAGTTTGTGAGAGCCGTGGATTTCCCTAATCTCCCTGTCCTCACCTACCTGTATGAGCCACCATCAATAGTTGTATCGTTTGGCTCACTGACTCTTTCCAACTAACCCAGGCAGCTACACACAAATGATATTTCGGACATTGAGGCAGGGGCATTTCAGAATCTCCCATCGTTGGAGGCACTGTAAGATCTATAGAAGCATGCAACCCACCACATAATGCCAGCTCTGCATTCTCTTGGGAGTCACATTTGTTGTTGTATGTAGCTCTGGAAGTTATGCAACCTCTTTAAAGTGTTTTATGCACTTTGCTAAATGTTTGTTGGCCGGAGACATGTCATCGTTTTTTAAGCAAGCCGAGTTTCCTGTGTGTAGGCATATCTATGGTGCAGGTGGAAATAACTAATATTTCACTCGCAAGTCTATGTTGATGCATGCCGCAACTTTGTTACATGAGATAAAGTCTCATTCAAATCCAATTGTGTATAGCTGTGTTAGGGCGTGCAAATGAAATGAAGGCGTTGCCCTATATATCATATCCATGCATTGAAGTTGCACAAATGTAGTAATGTTGTGTGTGTGTTGATTGGTTGCACAGCACAGGACTCTGCAGAATAACTTACTCCAGAGCCTCCGACCAGGAACATTCACTGGACTCTCCAACCTCCAGTTACTGTAGGCAGCAGTATATAGCTAGCTAGTGCATCCACTGACACACTGCCTTCTTCCCCAGGAACCTCTTCAATAACTATCTGGCAGAGCTGGACCCAGACATATTCAGTCCACTGAACAACCTGGTCACACTGTAAGAGAGATATTAGATCCAAACACAGCAGTATTGGGTCACTTTCATACTGCAGGAACCTGGCGTACAGCAGTCTTGAAGATATCAGGACAGGCACCTTTGCCAACTTTTCTCGTCTGTTTGACCTGTGAGATATACATTACTTTTGTTCCTTCTCTCTTTCCCTTCTCTTCTCTTCTCTCTCTCTCTCTCTCTCTCTCTCTCTCTCTCTCTCTCTCTCTCTCTCTTTCTCTCTCTCCCTCCCTCCCTCCCTCTCTCTCTCTCTCTCTCTCCCTCTCTCTCTCTCTCTCTCTCCAGCAATCTTGGAGAGAACTTCATCGGCACTATAGAGAGAGGTGCAGTTGCCAACCTTCCTTTCCTGAGAACCCTGTATGCCCCTCTGGTCTACCATATCTACCATAATTATTATGATGTGTTCTCTTTCAGTAATATTGAAGGAAACCAGTTGCAGTATGTGACAACTGACGCCTGGACAAACGTTCCTTTTCTCCACTCTCTGTGAGATACAAACTTTCCATTAATCCATTGTGCAACACACACACAATGTAAAACTAGCTCTAAGCACAAGAATCACTGTGCAAATAATGTAGTATAATGTCAATCGGTAAAAAGAACTATAAACTTTGCCCATTATACCCACCAATGTTTCTGCTGTAGTTTCACAAAATAGAAAGCAATCCGGTGATACATGTAGTGGAGGAATATTCACCTATCTTCATTAATCGCACACATCATCCATCACACACACACAAACACACACACACCAGTCGAATGGACAGGAATCCACTAGAGTGTGGTTGTCGGGTGGTGTGGCTACGGCAGTGGTTCCTGGAGAGATCTCTGAGAGGACCAGTGCTGTGTGTCACTCCTGCCAACCTCCAGGGAATGGACCTACTGCAGCTCACTCCTGTTGACTTCTGCGGTGAGTCCACACCAGTACCTCTCTGCAGTACCTCTCTGCAGTGCATACACTTTACATGTGCCACAGCACAGCAGAGTAAGAAATTTCCAACACAACTTGCTCATGTGCAGGAAGAATACGAGGAAGCTTCCTGCACATGTCAAAAATATGGGGATTTTGCAGGAATATTTCCTACACTTATTCATTTCTTCCCTGCACTTTTCGCAATTCTTCCTACACTTTTCTGAATGTGCAGGAAATACGCTTCTGGCACTTTTGCATGTGCAGGAAGTTTTTCAGTAAAGTGACATGAGTTTCTTCAGTTGAAAAACAAGTTTTCTTTTTTAAATGAGGAGTGTTATCAGTGTTGGCACAGAGCCCACCTCACTAAAGTCTGTTTTATTTTCACAAACCTTGGCTTACTTGAGAGAATCAGTCAAAGATTTCCAGAAGAATCACTGTTGATTCCTCTGACTCAGTGTAGGTATTACAACCTGAAGAAATCATTTTTAATGCAATGAAGTTCTATCAACTTTTCTGGAATTACGACCCGCATCCCCCAGAGTAGCCTTTAAAGTTAACATTCAAGACCTGCATATGTGTAACACTTACACATTTCTCTGCAGTTCTTCCAACAGCGTCCATCATGGAGGGAGACCCTCAGGTACTGGCAGAGGGGATGACCCTGCAATTAACCTGCACAACGGCTGGAGCTCCACCTCCCGTCGTCTCCTGGTCACGGGAGGGAATTACCCTCAACCTCACCGACCCACGTCTGGATATCAGGGGGAACACCCTAGTAATTGAAGGAGTGACAGTAAACGACTCTGATAGATACTTCTGTTCAGTCACCTCCAGTGCTGGTACCACAGCTAACAGCATCGACGTTGCCGTGGTGAGGATTAATGACCCCATCCCTCTGCCCACCAACGCAACCATTGGTGACACTGTGGTTCTGGAATGTGATAACGACCTCCCGATCTCCGTGGAGACGGCTTGGAGACTCCGCCTCTCCCCACTGGAATCCAATGCCTCGCGGGAAGTAAATTTCACGGGGAGGTTTGTGATGGGGGAGAGGGGGGAGCTGGTGGTGTTCAACGTCCAGCCGGAGGACATGGGGAGATATGAGTGTGTCCTCGGTGATGGCATCAGTCTATTCAGAGATCTACAGCTACAGGGTATGTATAGCCGCGTCAGAACCAGCTAGTTGCTTCTTTAACTCCTCTCCACTTTCTCTCTTCGTATTTGCTATTAGCAATACAGACGTCACGCTTGTCCCCAAATACCATGTTTTCACTTTCTATTCTAATCCATCCTTTTTTATCACTGCGTATATGACTCTTTTAAGTAAATCAGTTTTAGCCTCTGCTGCATGACGGGCGATTTCGTTAGCATAGTCTTTTACACAATTAGCAATATCTTTCTCCTCCACACTGTTTCATGCCTTTCTTCTCCTCTATCTCTTCCATCTCCCCTCCTCCCCCTCTTCCCCCCTCCCCCTCCCCTCCTCCCCTCCTCCCCCCTCCCTACAGCTGTGCCAGTGATCACCATATCCCCAGAGCCTCCGTGTCAGACACCCAACACCATAACCACCACCACCGCCGATATTATCGAGCTCACCTGTGATGCACGCGGAGCCCCAACCCCACAAGTAACGCTGCTCACTCCCAACAGAGGCAACGTGAGACTAATCGCAATTGTGATGATGTCGTCATTACGTCATTGTTTATTCTCAGATCACTGGAATGGGAAGTGTGTCGTTGCGTCTCTTGCCTCCTCAGTTGGAAGATTCGGGAGAGTATGTGTGTATAGCAGTCAATGAGGTGGGAGTGGCTGTCAGGAGGTTCAACATCAATGTCATGGGTGAGTCAGCGGTGCTTTGGTGAGCACTGTAGTCCACTCACGTTGGCAAAGGCCCCGGTTTACAGCTGGATATGAGAGCACTATGGAATTGTATATATATGTATATATGTACATGTAAGTGGTGTATTTCCATTAGAGCTGTAAGAGGAAAAGTCGTTCTGATCGTTCTACGATACTTACACGCACATTAATAGCTTCTTATCTATTGCAGTCAAATATGTTAAAATCAATACATTTTCATAAATACACGACGTTTCAATTTCGCAGTCTTTCTCAAGTGTCAACTATAGTTGAACTCAGAACTGTGAGATGAACACTGAATCATTTTCATAGGGCATACATAGTATCCGGAAGTATTTACACGAGTATCGCAGCCAACTCAGCTGGAACAGTTAGCTAATTCAACACTGTCTAGGTTTGCCACCAAAACGAGCCTAGCTAATGGTCTGAATTGCACGTTTATACAGTGGCACTGCAGCACTGTACAGACCATGATGCATTAAAAAAACCGCATTCGCTTGCCTATTGATCCTCACAAAATAACCAATCGAGCATATCCAACTACAGCTTTATGACAGTAGAATTGTTATTGAAAGGGTCAGTGGTGTCAGTAGAGCTGTGTTGACTGTGTCGGTGGTGTCAGTAGAGCTGTGTTGACTGTGTCAGTGGTGTCAGTAGAGATGTGTTGGCTGTGTCAGTGGTGTCAGTAGAGCTGCGTTGACTGTGTCCGTGGTGTCAGTAGAGCTGTGTTGACTGTGTCAGTGGTGTCAGTAGAGCTTTGTTGACTGTGTCAGTGGTGTCAGTAGAGCTGTGTTGACTGTGTCCATGGTGTCAGTAGAGCTGTGTTGACTGTGTCAGTGGTGTCAGTAGAGCTGTGTTGACTGTGTCAGTGGTGTCAGCAGAGCTTTGTTGACTGTGCCAGTGGTGTCAGCAGAGCTATGTTGACTGTGTCAGTGGTGTCAGTAGAGCTGTGTTGACTGTGTCAGTGGTGTCAGTGGTGATTTTGTTTCACAGCTGCACTGAATCTGAATCAAACCCTCTTCATCAGTCTGGAGCTCCTGGTGGGAGAGACTGCCGTACTCAACTGCACTAGTCCAGGTATATACACCCATTCGTCAATACCTCATACTCCACAACCTATACCCCATACCCTGTACTCCATACCCCATACCCCACATCTCATACCCAATGCTTCATACCCCACCCAATACCCCGTAATCCATACTCCATACCCCACCAAATTCTCCATACTCCATTCTCCGCACATGTACATTCTCATGGCACATACCACCACCATACTTTGTACCCCATACTCAATACCATGTGCTACACACCTTCCTTACCCCTATTGATCGGTACTCCATACCCCATACCCCACACTCTTCCATAACCCATTGCGGATACCCCGCTATACCCCATACCCCGGACCCCACACACTCCACACACCCGCCTATTATTACTGTCATTGTACACGACACAAGTCTGTTGCTTGAGTCAAAGTTGCATACGACTTCAAATGTATGGGTATGATGGTAGACAGCATGCAATACGTAATAGAAATGCTTTCTATTTCATGCACCGTTGTTACCTGGACCCATCATACACATACATTTGAAGTTGCATGCAACTTTCTCTCAAGCAACAGACGTTTATCATGACCTTTACACCCACACTCCATGTCCTCTACAGGGACAGTAATGTTAGACTTTGTATGGAGGAGGCTGGATAACAGACCATATGCTCCTGGGACGGTCCAGACTGCCGGTGGGAACCTCATCATCCCTCAAGTCAATGTCAGTCTGTAGTTAGTGTATGTAGATAATATGATGTCACAACTAACGCACAAATACGTGCCGAGTCTCGCGATACCTACGCTATCTAACCCGTGTCAGACTCTCAGAGAGTTAGCTATAATATAGAGACCACGACACGAGTAAATCAACAGTGTAGCCAAGCCCTTTACCAGCAGTACTGACCAGCGCATGCTTATTGGTGCAGTGTGTGTAGTGTGCCGAGGGTTGGCACCTTAGTTGTTTTTCATTGTTTTAATGTATGGGTGAAGTATTCATATACAGTAATATTGTGTTTGATTGATGTTTCAGCTGACTGATATAGCCGTCTACCAGTGTGATGCCACTCTTCCTATGGGACTACTGGCAACCATCGAATACGGAGTCCGCGTGTTTGGTAAAATGTCCCCTAGCCTTACTGGACTTGTTACTCACGACCAATGTACGCATGCTGTTGTTCTCCTTTGTACCTTTGACCTTTGACCTCATTGCTGACATACTCTCTATGTGTGACCTAAGCTGATCGTATGTTTAAGATGTCTCTTTACCTCCCTCTCTCTGTCTCCCAGAGGCGGCATCCATAGCAGGCCGTTGTCCTCTGCCAGAGAGGAGGTTTGCCACGGAGGGCGAAGACGTCTCCCTCAACTGCACCGTGCGCGGCAACACCAGACCGAATCTGGAATGGAGGTTTGGGAACGAGACCATCATGGAAGGGGGGCAGTTTGAGTTCATGACTCTCGAAATGGGCCTCGGGTTCAGAGAGGAGGAGTTGTTGATCAGGGAGGTTACCATGGAGAACAGGGGAGAGTACTCGTGTATCGCCACCAACTCCAGGGGAATGGAGTCCTACAGCTACTTCCTGGAGGTTCAAGGTTAGTTAACCCTTTTACCACACGTTCCTTCTTTTAATGGGAATGGGGTCCTACAGCTACTTCCTGGAGGTTCAAGGTTAGTTAACCCTTTTACCACACGTTCCTTCTTTTAATGGGAATGGGGTCCTACAGCTACTTCCTGGAGGTTCAAGGTTAGTTAACCCTTTTACCACACGTTCCTTCTTTTAATGGGAATGGGGTCCTACAGCTACTTCTGGAGGTTCAAGGTTAGTTAACCCTTTTACCACACGTTCCTTCTTTTAATGGGAATGGAGTCCTACAGCTACTTGCTGGAGGTTCAAGGTTAGTTAACCCTTTTATCACACGTTCCTTCTTTAATTAACTCATTGGGGCTGGAATAGCTGTAAGATTTGTAGGAGTATGGCAAAAAATTTACACTATTTCTTGAATTTTTGATGGATTTTACTTGTTAAGGGTATTTCTTCGCCCCTCCCCCTCCCTCTCTCACCTGTCCCCTCAGAGGGTGTTAATAGACCATTCTTCAGACAGCAACCATTGTCAGAGGCCAGTGTGGTCGCCGGGGAAACAGCTGTGATCCACTGCGAGGCAGTCGGAGGACCAAACCTTGTCCTCTCCTGGTTCAGGACCCCTCTGGAGTCTGATACCCCAATCACCGAGGTATGTACCCCTACCCCAATACTCCAGTGACTGAGGTAAGTACCCTAATACCCAGTCATTGGGGGTCAGTACCCCAATACCCCAGTCACTGAGGTAAGTACCCTAATACCCAGTCATTGGGGGTCAGTACCCCAATACCCCAGTCACTGGGGTCAGTACCCCAATACCCCAGTCACTGAGGTAAGTACCCTAATACCCAGTCACTGGGGTCAGTACCCCAATACCCCAGTCATTGGCGTCTATCCCAACACCCCAGTCACTGAGGTGGACCTCAGTACCCCAATACCCCAGTCACTGAAGTCAGTACCCAAATACACAATTACTGAGGTAAATACCCCAATACCCCAGTCACTGAAGCAGTACCCAAATACCCAATCACTGAGTAAATACCCCAATACCCCAGTCACTGAAGCAGTTCCCAAATACCTCAATACCCCAGTCACTAGGGTCAGTACCTCAATACCCCAAGTAGTAGTAGTAGTCCTTGTGACGAGGAATACTCCGGTAAAAGAACTTATGCCAAATGTTTCGGTTGCTACTGCCTTCTTCAGTAGTCATATTTTGCATTGAAGGAGGCAACTAAACAGTTCATAAGTATTTGACCAGAGTATTCGATGGAACCATAGAATAACCATGACTCTCGATACATTTTTGCAGAGAACATGTTGCCAATGGCAACCAAACAATTTGTTCACTAAGCTCTTACAATATTACTTCCTCCCTCAGCTAGGGATTGTGTAATTGGGTAGGGGTGTCAGCGTGCTCAAATATGTGGTTCTGGTGTGCGACCTGCTCGAAAAATCACACTGTTAGGACAACTAGGTTAGCTCCCACTTGTAAATGAAAAGCACTACAGTGCAAACCCTCGGCGAACTGCGCATGCGCGGTACTGCTAATTAATGGGCGGGGCTATTTTGTGGTAGTCTCCCACTAGTATAGCTCACGGAGAGTCTGACACGGGCTAGCTACAGTAGTAGATAGCATGCGGGAGTCGATACACACCATTCGTTGTGACTTCCTGTGCCTTCAAGATACACAGAGCAAGCGGGCCCGGTCGAATTAGCATAATAACCGCATGCGCGTTCGTCTTTCCCATATTCACAGTCGTTGTCTCCGTCACATATAATAGTCTCTGTCGATGCAATCTCCGTTGTCACATTCGAACTCCCAACTGTAACAGTAACCTGCGTGCGTTCAGTGTGGTGCGTGCAAATGACATCCCTCAGTACATAATAGCTGCCCGTTCCGTCACCGTTGCAGCTGTCCGCTAGGACAAAAACCAGCAAGAAGGGTAGGCAGAGACGACTCCACATCACTGTCTTTCACAAGTCGTTGCTTGCTGCCCCACTCACACACGTACAGAGCTCACACCACCATGCGCACGCACGCACGCGCCCGCAACGAACGAGACCGTTTGAATATTGTGCGCATGTGTACATCGCCCACGTGCATTCCAGGGGGAGACACAATACTGTCTACATAATGCAGTTGTCAACAGTGTGTTGCAAATCGTATATAAAAAAGTCAGCTCCTGGGATTACTGCACAGGGTACGGTGGTGGTGGGTAAGCCTGCGCAGTAGCATAGGGCTGAGGTGGGTAAGCAGCAGGCTGGGGTGGATACTGCTGCATTGGCTGAAACATATCTTGGTGGATAGTCAGTTTTCACATCTTCCTGAAAAAATAACAGAGAATTACTACAGTTTAACCTCATGAAAAAAGGACCCTCCAAAAGGCGGAGACCTCGAAAAAAGACTTCACACTGTTCTGCACCAACCTAACAAGGGACACCACTAAAAAGGAGTTTGATTTTGCACCTACAATTATATGCGCCCAAATAAAAAAAACACCTCTAAATAAAGCACACATTCACAGGTCTCACTGTGTAATGGAACAGGATATGAGATGACTAATGTATGCAGAAAAAAGCAAACCATGGCAGCTTGTTGTGACGACAGTTGCTGCGGGAACCCGCGCTGGTGTGTGTGACAGTTGTTCTGACAACCGTTCTACCACCGAGGGTGTGTTGGAGACGGGCCAAACACACAGCAGTATATCAGGACTATGGCGATGGGGATAACCACACAGAAGAGGATGAAGAAGAAGACAGACAGACCGACAGCCAGACTTGCTGCAGCTGTGGAAAAGAAGATAATTATGCATGTGTCTACGTTCGCTGACCATTTAAACACACAAAGAAAATGACGTTGGATGTAGAACAAGAATATTTCATATGTTGTATTAACATACAAGCGCATCCGTCCTCGTCACTACCATCGTAACAGTCATCCGTTCCATCACATTCAGAGGAGCTAGGGCTGACACACTGCCCACTTTTACACTCAAACTGGTAGCTATAGCAGGTACCTGTGAGTAACATCAATTATTGAGGTCCATGATTACATACACACAAGCATGCACACACATAGAAACACCCAGAATGTTTTTAGAAGCAAGGTAGCTAGAAGAGGTTATATAGCATCACATTTTCTGTTCGTCTTCTATAACATGAATTCAAAAAACCCAGACTCAGAATCCAGACTCATTCATCTATTACCAGGGTAACCCTATACACAGTCTTGGCGCGTACAGGAAATCCTCCTCAGCTGTTAATTAACTATACCGGCCTTGGGCTACGCCCTCATCCGGTATAGTCGGAGTATAATTGGCGAGCGGGAGCGAGCTAACCTAGTGGTATGAACGGCGCGGATTTTCTATATATATATTTATTTATTTATTTATCTACGACCGTACGTCGTCCAACTGCGCATGCTCCAGCATTACGCGCTTCTTTTTATCCGAAAGGGATTTCAACATTTTCATATGCTGCCTGAATCGAGCGGAATCAGGGGAAACGCAACACGACAGGCTCGAACACTCGAAGCAATCGAGAATTGCTGCATAGTCCAGCGATGAGAGAGAGGCTCGCAATTCGCTGCGTTCTTCGATACCTGACCAAGGCTGTATATACCTCTTTCCAATCTTCGTGGTTCTAAGGTTCGAATTGTAAATAAGCTAGGATGGCTCATGCAGATACAGTCAATATGTGCTCGCTCCCGCTCGCCAAAAATGCCGTGCATTCGCCTACTAGTATATCTCCTGTATAATATACCGCCTATACGTTAACTTTGTGACGGGCACCACGGCACTGCACATACCGAAAGTTTTACGTGATTCTAAATACGCGAAACGGAATGAAATTTCGCAATCGTCTGTATTAAACACACGCCGCGTTGTTGGGCAGCCCGATCGATCGCTGTCTAGCTGTGCTGCAAATGTTATGAAATTCTGGACTTCAATATCCTCCTGTATGGAGGGGGAAACACTTTGCATCAAGAAAAACTACGAGCAAACGACTCGATCGAATCTGTGGCTGGTAGGTACCAGATATCCCACACTCCATGCTTTTTGCAAAGTTTTTTCTGGAATATTACGAGATTCAGTTACGATGGAAACCAACTTACCCGAGCACCCGTCTTCGTCGCTGCCATCGTAACAGTCGTCCTCTCTGTCACAGCGGTAGTCGTTCTCCACGCATTGGCCGCTGTCACACTCGAACTGGTAGCTAAAGCAGTGGTTACCTGAACGGGAATAGATTTGAGCTACGTAGTGCCCAATACCAAAAAAAAGACTTTACCGTTGCAGCCGACCGCTAGGGCGACGACCAGGAAAGCAAAGAAAACACGCCCGGATACCATGATTATCGCGGCTCGTACTGTAGTGTACTGAAAGGTGGATGCACAGCAACAGAGAAATTCACGGTCTCTGCATCTACGCATGCGCAATATAAGCGTCACTAAACGTCACCAAAGTGAACCCTCGGCGAACTGCGCATGCGTGGTAGCACTAATTGATGGGCTGTGCCTTTACCAGTTTACTCGCGATATCCCACTAGTAGCCCGCGCACTTTTATAAGGTACAGTAGTAGATAGCCTGCGGGAGTCGATACATGCCCTTCGTTGTGATTTCTTGTGCCTGCAAGATACACAGAGCGAGCCTGTGGTAATTTGCATATTGGCTTGTTCACTTGGTTTTCAGGATACTCTAACGCGCTTTACAAAATGTCATTTCAAAATAGCCAGCTAGCGCGATCCGTGTGTCGCATTTTACCTGTTTATTGCGCGTGGTGGCAGAAAACGTTGTAACAGACGGACAGTACACACAGACCAAGTACTATAACCCTCGATGCGCATGCTTTACCTACTAGATTACACATGGTGTGTGTCGTCTCTGTTTTGTTTCGTACGTTCAAAATTATAACGAAAGTACAAAGACACAACCTAAGTATATATTAGAACAGGAGGGTTTTTGTGTTGTTGAGTATACCATAATCACCGTCATACAGTGTTCCTTTCTTGTTTACTGCTAGTCCATATGGACAATTGAACTCCACAGGACCTTTTCCCGCTCTTCGATAAATTCTCCATCAGTAGAGAATATTGATATACGACTGTTCCCCCATAATTATCCCTTTGGGCGCGTTTTACATATATATATATATATGCACAGAGCCTCCATAAGTGCATAAGAATTTATATATGGCTATAATACTAGGCGCTAATATGTTATGCATCAATTTCTGCTTATTTAAGGAGACACCTATGGCGCCCAAAGGGTTTTACCCAACATACTAGGGTCAATTGCAATATTGACTGGAAGGTTTAGTTCTCCCTCTCCTTCTCCCTTCTTCCCAAACTGCCTCAAGTACACTCCATCGACTGTAAAGACCTGGTTATTATGATCAGTTACACACACATTGCTGTAGCTACACTATAAGTATAGCTGAACTCTCCATTGTCAGAGCCCTCCCTGCCAAAACTACTGAAGTATGTGAGGTCAGAGTTCAAAACCTGAAATCTGTGGTTGCCATAGTCAGCAACATACACCTTGCCAGTGTGAGGATGAACTGTCATGCCTACTGGACACCAAAACTGTAGAGGTCGACTGCCCCGGGTACCGACTGTTCTAAGGTGTTTGCCAGTGGACGACAACTGCTGAATACGATCGTTTCCATACTCTGACACAAGAATGTTTCCTCGATTGTCTATTGCTATAATTATCTTTAGGAGAGGAAACGGCTGTGATCCACTGCGAGGCAGTCGGAGGACCCAACCTTGTCCTCTCCTGGTTCAGGACCCCTCTGGAGTCTGATACCCCTATCACCAATGTACGTACCCCTACCCCAATACCCCAGTCACTGGGGTCAGTCCCCCAATACCCCAGTCACTGAGGTAAGTACCCTGATAGCCAGTCATTGGGGGTCAATACCCCAGTCAATGACGTCTACCCCAACACACTAGTCGCTGAGGTAAGTACCCTAAGAGCCAGTCATTGTGGGTCAATACCCCAGTCAATGACGTCTACCCCAACACACTAGTCACTGAGGTCAGTACCCAATACCCCAGTCACTGAAGTCAGTACCCCAATACCCCAATCACTGAGGTAAATACCTCACTCAGGTCTCAAACCCAGAGCCTGCAGCAGCTGCCACTGGAGTATCAGGGATCCACCACACTGCTTGGGACCACACCATCAGGAGGGCCACTTTCTTCCATTGGTGTGGAATGAACCACACATTATCAGTAGCGGCTGTTTGGGAGGAGTGGCCCAGTTCTAGTTGGTGGCTCGGGATAATTGGCGAGTGGGAGCGAGCGGCGAGCGCTCGTGAAGGTAGCAGATATCAATACATGTACCCCCAGTCACTGGGGTCAGTACCCCAATACTCCATTATGTCCACCACTATCTCAGAGTGGTTTAGAATATTGATTACACTTCACAACACATGCAAATAGTAGTCCTTGTGTTGCTTCTTCAATGTCAGTCCTCGTGACCAGGGAGGCAACTTTTGTTTGAATACTCCGGTAAACAAACTTATGCCAAATGTTTCGGTTGCTACTGCCTTCTTCAGTAGTCATATTTTGCATTTAAGGAGGCCACTAAACAGTTCGTAAGTATTTGACCAGAGTATTCGATGGAACCATAGAATAACCATGACTCCTCCTTCAGCTGTTCCCCAGTGAGAGAGTGGTGATATCGCCACGGGAACTGGTGATATTAGACCTTCGACCTGAAGAGGAGGGGTTCTATTTCTGCATGGCCAAGAATGAGCTGGGAGAAATCACCAGTCGCTCGGGGCAACTCAACGTTTGGAGTGAGTCAACTAATTAGCACTGTTGAACCTCAGATAAAGGACACTCTGACTAAAGGACACACTTTTAGATCCCAAAACGTTCACTTTTCTTTTATTCGCTAATAGAGTGTCGTGAGCACTCTGTGCGTAGACAATGGATTATTATCTGGGTTTGAATCCCTGTCCAACACAGCTAGTTTTCCTTGGAGAAAACTAGGTGCATGCTAGAACCTCTGATGAAGGACACAAAACCTACACTTTGGGATCCCAAACTTTCACTTTTCTGTGTACATTCTCTGCTCACCGCTACGTGCGTGCACCCTGCAGCTCCCCCAGAGTTTGACCCTGGACTGATTATCAATTACCTGGTGGTGGAGGGAGCCAGTCCGAGTCTCATACTCCCATGCAGCGGAACTGGAGACCCACGACCTGACCTCCACTGGCTGAGAGGCAGCACTGTCCTCCCTACTGGCATCAATGAAATGGTAGGACTCTCTCTCTCCCTCTGTCCCCCTCACACTGATTTTTTTTCAATTGTGTGATCTGTTCATTGCCGAGCGAAAATAGTTGCACAGTTTTTCGTACATATCTATGTGGGGATGACAATGACGACATAATGGTTACTGTAAAAATACAGATGGTACGCAATTGTGTATGTCGTGTGTGTGTGTGACTCTTGTATTTGTACAAATTCTAGTTCATGAACAGAGACCTGTATTTCTATTTCACCCACCTTTTCTCTCCCCTCCCTGACAGAGAATTCTCCCAGATGGAAGTCTAGAGATATTTCGTCCTGGTCCGCAGGACGAAGGTGATTACGACTGTCGTCTTGCCAACGCAGCTGGCGAGAGATTCCTCAGATTCAACGTCCGAGTCCAAGGTGAACTTTGACCTCTCTTTTCAATTGTATTTTTGTTTCTGTTGTCATGGCAGCTATACCCAGGGTGCAGATTGACCCCAGCGACCCCCCGACCCTCGATGTGGGTGCCCAGCTGTCTCTGTTCTGTTCGGACATGAGGACGCAGCCGGAGGAACTGGAAGTGCTGAAATGGAGCAGGAACGGGGAGCCCCTGGTGACAGGAGGCAATATCGTGGTCTTCCCCAAGACCGGAGAACTTGTCATATCTGACATGCAGGTCTTAAAGTGGCAGTACGTTTCATTATCTTAAAACGTGGAGTCCGCATGCACCAGTGTGCGCTCCCTTTAACACGCAGAGTCTCTAGGGTGTTTGGAATGTGTATTTTCCTGCACATTTACATGGGAACTGCACCTTTAAGTATAATATTCTGGTGTGTAAAGAGTATACAGTGATGCCCCCCTAATCTGGACACTAATGAGGAAATGAATTGGGATGTTGTTATAGAGAGGGGTTCCATTTTGAGTGAAGTTGCATCTCTTATTATCGCCCTCCCCTCTTCAGATCTCAGACTCTGGCAACTACACATGTGAGATATGCTCCTACGCTGGATCAGATAATGAGACTGTGGTTATCATTGTTGAAGACCCTCTCCTGGCCAGTGGAGTAATGACCACACCCCTTTCTGTCTCCAGCCCCACCCCCTTCACTCAGACACTCTCGGAGGTCAGGCTGCCCTCTCTGTAGAGTTCCCAAACAGATGACGTTTTTCGACAGCTTTAGTCGTCTGAGTTATGGTCTGCTTATTATGTTAACTTCTACACCCAAGCTCTATGCTTGCTATAAAATACTGCATGTGCTACACCTGCATATTGTAGCACGGACTTTGCAAGAGAGTGTGGGTGCAAATTTTCAGTGGCTTTACCATAGAAAAATCTGCAACTCAAACCACTTCTCTAGCAAATAATCTGTCCCTTTCTCCCCCTCCCTCCTCTCCCTCCCTCCTCTCCCTCTCTCTCCCTCCCTCCTCTCCCTCCCTCCTCTCCCTCCCTCCTCTCCCTCTCTCTCCCTCCTCTCCCTCTCTCTCCCTCTCCTTCCCTCCTCTCCCTCTCTTTCTATATCTCTCTCCCTCCCTCCCCCCTCTCTCTCCTCTCTCTCTCTCATCACCCTCCCACAGGGCCAGACAGCTCAGTTTGTCTGCGTGACCTCTCGACCTCCACCAGGCTCAGATATCATGGTAGAGTGGCTCAAAGACGGAGAACCTCTGAGGAACCTAAAGCGGATCACAGTCGGGGAGATTGAGGTGGGCAGTCAGCTCACCATCACTGATGTCAGGATCACCGACGAAGCCGCTTACTCCTGCATCGCCAGCAACCGCATCGGAGAAGTGGAGTCCATTGATTTCAATCTAGCCATCTCCAGTTGAGTCTTCATCCTCTCTCTTCCTCTCTCTCCCTCCTATGTTCACCCTCTTCTCCTCTCTAGCTCTCTCTCCTCCCCTCTCTCCCTCTTCTCCTTTCTCTCTCCTCCCCTCTCACCCTCTTCTCCTCTCTCTCTCTCCCTCCTCCCCTCTTCCCCTTCTCTACGCAAAGCAATGTTTATTGCCAGCCAAAATTCCATTGGCCCCTTCCTTCACCCCAGCTCGTCCCATCATCACGTGGGCTCCTGCCAGTAGAGATATTATTGCAGGCGAGAACATCACACTGTCATGTAAGGCAGTGGGGACACCTGAGCCTGAGATTACGTGGCTCTTCAATGGAGAACAGGTCTCACTCTCCCTTCCTCTACCTTTCCCTTATCTTTGGTCCTATGTTCCTCTCCTCTCTCCTCTCCTCCTCTCTTCATCAGTTCTTTCCCTCCTCCCCTGCTCTCTGCTTCCCCTACTACCCTCTTGCTCCTTCCTCTTCATTCAACCCTCTTACTCTCTGCTTCCCCTACTACCCTCTTGCTCTCTGCTTCCCCTACTACCCTCTTGCTCTTTGCTTCCCCTACTACCCTCTTGCTCTTTGCTTCCCCTACTACCCTCTTGCTCTTTGCTTCCCCTACTACCCTCTTGCTCTTTGCTTCCACTACTACCCTCTTGCTCTTTGCTTCCCCTACTACCCTCTTGTCTCTTTGCTTCCACTACTACCCTCTTGCTCTTTGCTTCCCCTACTACCCTCTTGCTCTCTGCTTCCCCTACTACCCTCTTGCTCTCTGCTTCCCCTACTACCCTCTTGCTCTTTGCTTCCCCTACTACCTTCTTGCTCTCTGCTTCCACTACTACCCTCTTGTTCTTTGCTTCCACTACTACCCTCTTGCTCTTTGCTTCCCCTACTACCCTCTTGCTCTTTGCTTCCCCTACTACCCTCTTGCTCTTTGCTTCCACTACTACCCTCTTGCTCTTTGCTTCCCCTACTACCCTCTTGCTCTTTGCTTCCCCTACTACCCTCTTGCTCTCTGCTTCCCCTACTACCCTCTTGCTCTCTGCTTCCTCTACTACCCTCTTGTTCTTTGCTCTAGTCCTTCATCCGTCTTTCCTTTCCCCTTATCCCCCATCTTCTCTCTCTCCTCTCTTTATCTCTTTTTCTACTTGTTCACCCCCTCACCCCCTCTCAGATCACTGGCTGTCTGTTTGAGTCACCCAACACCATCTCAGTCTGCAACACTACAGTAGCTTCGTCCAGAGGCTGGTATTCCTGTGTTGCCCGCAACATTGCAGGTATGTGAACCATACTCAGTTACAATCCTGTGTGTGTATGAGTTGAACTTAATCAATACTCCTCTTTATTATTCACTAATCATTGATAATACCAACTTTATATACCTACCACAAAATATGTGCTTACATAGAATGTTCTAGAACGGTTCAAAGTACAAATGTTGTGTCAGTGTGTGAGGCACTAGACAACATGATAACCGAAATTTCTTTACCAATTCAGGGACAACGGAATACTCCGTCTATGTTAATGTGACCTCCTCATCGACAATGGCCCCCAACATTACGTCGCGGAGTCAGTCGATGGTTGTTAATGCTGGCAACTCCCTCATCCTCGACTGTCTGGCTACTGGGAATCCTCTACCTGTCATCACTTGGCTCAAAGATGGGGTGAGTAGTGGAGGGATAAATTTTGAGGACGTTTTCCCATCCTTTTTTTCTATAACAAAAAACCATAGTATGTGAATTAAAGTGCTGTAAGATAAGACAAAAAGTTAAAAAAGTTAGTCACAGAATTCAACAAGTTTCAAACCCTAGTATATATGGTGTTCTCTATAGTAGCAGCGGAGAAAGAGAAAGGGCTTTAGAGGGCCACTAATTGTCCCTTCATAATAAACAAAGTGTTTACTAGTCTCACTACCCTCTACATACACATGGTGTTCTATAAATAAGGGAGACCTTGGGGTCATAAAAAAATGTCATAGCTATACGCTAATTTAGTAGATACAAATAGGACTGTCCTTCATTATGAGAGTCTTTAATCATTATACCTGTGACAGGAGAGGTTGGTGAGTAACTGTGAGTCCCCCAGTGGAGGGGCCTGTGTGGTGCTGGGTATGGACGGCAGTGTCTACATAAGAGACACCCAGTTGTCAGACACCGGGACCTACACATGCGTGGCCACCAACACTGCTGGCCAGGCCGTGTACGAAGTCCACGTTCTAGTGACCCCTTCTGCAGGTGAGTGGAGTTACACAATTGCTCTTTCCAGTAGTTCCAGCTGCCTCAGTTTGAATAGCATGAAAGTATTAGACCATGTGAACTATAACTGGAGCTGCCTCAGTTTGAATAGCATCCATAACTGGAGCTGCCACAGTTTGTCTGAATCTAAAAATAGAGCTGCCTGTCCAATCACTATATTACTGTAGCCAAGGTGAAGTATTAAACATTCACCATTACAATAGGTAGGACCTATACCTTGAAAAGTCATGCTGCTGCCAACAGTGTTATATATAGAGCATTGAGTTTACGAGTGCCACACCAGGCAACAATATAGGGATTGTGTGATAGGGTCGGGGTGTCAGCGTGCTCAGATCTGTTTGTTAACCAATCATGTATGTATCCAATTTCTATCTTGTCTCCCTTTCTTTCCTATACTATTATGCCTCTTTTTCTTCTGAATCTGAAAACGGATATAATATACAGCTGTCTGAAACAAAAAATAGAGCTGCCACAATTATAATTCTATCATATCTCAAAAACAGAGCTGCCACGGTTTGCGGTGTTCCCGCGGATCGTGAACCAGTCTGCAGAGCTGTTCGGTGTGGAGTGTCAGACGACCTCTGACCCCCCAGCCCACCTCTGCTGGCTGACTGGAGATCACACTGTCATCTCCAAAAACAGTTCTGATGTACGTACCCCCCACCTCTCTCCCCTTGTCTCTTACCCACCTCGACCCCTCCTCCCTCTCCTTGTCTATTACCCACCTCGACCCCACCTCCCTCCCCTTGTCTCTTACCCACCTCGACCCCATCTCCCTCTCCTTGTCTCTTACCCACCTCGACCCCACCTCCCTCCCCTTGTCTCTTCCCACCTTCCCTCCAATCATACTGATAGGCCATTACTCCAGCAAATAGGTCCCTGGATTTACTTTGTCTATGAAGACTCTCTCCCTGCACATGCCCCCAGCCCCTTCTTTTACCATAATGTGTGCAAATAACATTATTATCCTATGTTATTTCTGTAAATTTCAATCACCCTCCATGTGTATAAGTTTGGAGGTACATATAATTATAGCCAATACTCTTCGATCACAATCTCTCTAGTTCTCTCTGATTCTCTCTCCCCCTCCACCCATGTATTATAATGGCAGAGAATATACAGCATCGGAGGACTCTGTACGTAGTGAACCCAGTGACGGAGGACAGTGGCCAGTACATCTGCAGGGCCAACAACTCGGCAGGGATCAACCAGGTCTCCATCACACTCAGACTGGGAGAGGACATCAGTGGAGATGGAAGTACATTGATACTCACACACACAGTGCACCTACATACTTGTAGGTCCTAGTGGTCTGTCGAGGTAGACCATTATCTCCTAGACCATATCTCCATATCCTACTAGCACAGAGATTTATATGCAGGCATATTGTGCACATTCCTCTGGTTAGTCCTGCAGGTTGTGTTTTGTGTATTGCACAGTTTGAAAGATAAATGATGGGTTCGAATGCCTCCTTGTAAAATGGCACATGGTTCTATTACTTTTCCTCTCCCCCCTCTCATACATACACACAGGTATAAGAGACACCTCAAATGATGCAGACGAATCTCAAGGTATTTACTGCACATATACTAACAAAACCTTGCTCATGTCACAATTAACCCATTCCCCACTGCCTGATGTAACCCATTCCCCACTGAATTCTTCCGAAAGAGCCAAAGTTTCTGGAGGCTCCGGGCGACGTGGTGACATATGAGGGACTGCCAGTGATTGTACCGTGCAGCACAACCAAATCACTCGACTCCTTCACCGTGTGGCGGAAAGGCAAGCGGCCCCTCCTCCAGGACGACGACATCACCGTGACAACCAATGGGTCCCTGGTGATAGAGAGGTCAAAGGTGGATCATTCGGGGGAGTATGATTGTGTGGCGGTGAGTGAGGAGGGAGTTCTGCGGGCCACCATCTCCATTGACATCCAGTCCAGACCAGGTTATATAGCCCTCTTCTCATTATTATTATTTCCAATGTTTTCCAAGGTTTACCATAATGGAAAACTGAAGCCCTGTTTACATGGACACTTTAAACAAGTGTTTCATTTACGTGTACAGTGGAACCTCCAATAAGGGACACTCTACATGGGACACTTGTTTCAACCTCATGCTATTACTTTAGTGTTTTAGTTGAGTGAGATAGGGACGGCATCTCTACAAGGGACAAAATCGTTGGCCCCATAGTGTCCCTTGTTCGGAGGTTCCACTGTATTGACAGTCAATAGCACTTCAGAAACGACTACCACTTCACTACAAGGATTTGGTTTGAATACACATCGTCTGTATAATGATTATGGACACATTTTTTCAATGCTTGTGAGCTGATCTTCTGTCTGATGTGCAGGACCACCTGACCTTTTGACCTCTCCCCGTGACATCCGAGTACCTGTCGGAACAGGGTTTGTGTTGCCATGCCAACCAGACGGAGTGCGGGAGGTGACGGGGTTGTCGTGGTTACTGAATGGAGAACCTCTGGAGTCAGAGTGAGACATGAATGCGCCCCACCCTCTTGTCCCTGCTCAGCTCTATCGGGTTTTATGGAATTTCATGATATGGAGGAGAAATGCGCTCTACAACAAGTACCAGGTTACAGTGGAACCTCCCCCTCTGAGATAGGGACGACCTCTCTACAAAGGACACTTGTTTCAACCCCATGCTAATACTTTAGTGTATTATTTGACCTCCGAGATGGAGACGACCTCTCTAATACTTTAGTGCATTTTTTGACCACCGAGATAGGGACAACCTCTCTACAAAGGACACTTGCATGTAATACTGGTTGACCCCAGAGATAGGGACGACCTCTCTACAAGGGACACTTGTTTCAACCTCATGCTAATACTTTAGTGTATTTTTTGACCTCCGAGATAGGGACAACCTCTCTACAAAGGACACTTGCATGTAACATGAAAAGCACTGAAGTGCAAACCCTCGGCGCACGGTGACGCGCACGCTAAAGTAAACGCATGCGCCGTACTACTAATTGATGGGCTGGGTTTAGTTTTAGCGTGGTGTCTTGCCAACTCGTGCAGAGTCTGACGCGGGCTAACTACACTAGTAACCCATTGTGTATTTGCATATTGGCTTTTTCACGCTCTAGCTTTGCAACGGAGCGTTTTCAGAGAAAACTGTTCGAAAATTCTGACCTTCATTGCCCGTTCAGTAGGTGGTATCCTTTGTGAGAGGAACGAACACTCCAGAAGTGAGATGAAGAGTAACAGACACACAGACAGACACACAGACACACACAGACCCAAGTACCGTAACCCTCGCTGCGCATGCGCGCCGAGGGTTAACTAGTTGACTTCAAAGATAAGGACGGCCTCTCTACAAGGGACAAAATCATTGGCCCCATAGTGTCCCTTGCTCAGAGGTTCCACTGACATCATAAAGAATGCGGCCAGTGTGACATTTAGAGGTTTTGTTAGAGGCACTGCAGTACTGTGACTGGTGTGTGTGAGTGTGACTGGTGTGTGTGAGTGTGACTGGGTGTGTGAGTGTGACTGGGTGTGTGAGTGTGACTGGTGTCTGTTGTGCAGGTGTGGGGTGAGAGAGGTGAGGGAGGATGGCAGTTTGCGTGTTGCCAGGGCAACCAACACATCGGCTGGGGTCTACACCTGTCGCGTGAGGAACAACTACGCCACGATAATAGACGCAACTGCCACTGTGACTGTGACAGGTAATCTCCATTCAGTTGGTGTCATATGACTATTAGTCACACATAATGTATGGTGCATGGGTCTATACATGCACCATACATTGTAGTAAAAATCAATCCCTTTATCTCCTTTATCTGTGTTTTAGCCTTCAAATTACACTTATGCACAAAGCGTACAAACGATTGAAAAAATAAGCACCATCTTTACTCGTTGGGTCACTGACTGTGGTGACTTTAGGTTTGTGAACATCAGAGGGAGTGTGGCAGCACATACAAGGGAGTGAATGTGGCAGTAAATAAGGGCTAAATGTAGACAAGGCCAATAGGCAAATGGGTTTCCATCTTTAGTAACATTTTCTCTTGTATACGGCCACACATTCCGCACATATGAATTTTCAGTGCGCCAATAAACAGGCAAAACAAGGCTTAAGATTTTAGTAGGAGTGAGTCAATATCCAGCAACTGTTTCCCCTATACAGACTACCTCATCAACACCACTCTGACAGTGGTGGAGGGAGAGGGCTCTGTATGAACTATCCTGTGGAGTCCCAGACTCCGCCCACAGCACGAACGTGCAGTGGACTCAGGGGACACGCCCACTCCCATTCTCCCCCTTCATCATCCCATTTGGAGCCCGCCTTCTCTTCATTACAGTACAGTCCGCCCACCAGGGAGAGTATACCTGCACTTACAATGGCAGCACGTTCAGTGTCTTCCTCAATGTCCTCGGTGAGTTACATCATGACCGTCTTAACATTTTACTTTTCTTACCAAGCACACAAGAATTATATTGTCATTTTTCTTATACGATATTGTTTTTCTAACAATCTCTCTCCTCTTCCTCATCTCCTTTTCCTCCACCTTCTCCTCCCTCATCTTTCCCTCTTTCTTCCTCCTACTTCACTTCCCTCCCTCCTCTAGTGGCCCCTACCATTATCAACCAAACTCCAAGTCTCAGTGTGTCAAGATATGATCCTCTGGCTCTCGACTGTCAAACTACTGGCAACCCAAAACCACTAGTTAGCCTGGCATAACAGTTACTTGACACAATTCTAAGACACAATCTGTCTATCTATCATATTCCCATACATTGAGCCCCGCACAACAAAGTTGCCTCGTGTATCATGGCCTTTCCCTCTGTGTTAATATAGTTGCATAGCCTTTCTGCACCATATTATTGTACTACCATACAACCTGCAGATGAACCTTTACTTGAGAAATGTGTCAAATGTGCTTTATTTGGAGTATTTTTGCCTGAAAATGCTGCGTGTCCATTCAAAATTATAGGCATGATGCATCACAGGTTAGCACAAAAGAGGGATTTGGCGATTTTCAGGTGGGATAGGCAGTATTTTTCCTTGGTTATCAAGCAAAAAGCGAAATGGTTGGTACAGGTATGTAGTATGCCGTTTTAGCCCAGCTTTTCTATGGGGTACAAACCAGCATCCCACAATTAGGCCATGGAATTACATGCAGCAGAGTTGGTACTGTGGCTTTACAGTATGCAATTCTTCCAGAATCACGTTTTGGCAGATTCAAACAGAACGTCTCCCTGCAGGTGGTGTGGTTCTTGAATGGAGAGCCAGTTGACGGCCGTAGTGTCCAGGCCACGCCTCTAGCCACAGGGTCTCTCTACCTCCACCCTCCTCTGCCCCCCGGGGACACCATCGCCACATGTGAGGCCAGCAACCATCTGGGAGTGGTCCGGAGCACTACCGTCATCACTGCCTCCTAGACTAGCACAGTGACTGACAGAGAACCTTTCATTGTGGTACAATTGATGATGCAATCGTTGATACTTGTGTTTTCACTTGTCAAAAGTAACGGCACACAGTGTACTGTATTGGACTTCAATATGGCAAATGTCAGTTGTACTGCTGCATGCAGAACATACCAAAGGAGGTGTAGTAGTGCGTACGTCCATGTACCACACTGTATACATTGTCCACACACTCTTTCAGTGAATTCATAGTTTCAGATTGTATCTCACAAACACTGTCTTGCGCACTGCCTCCACACATTAACCATAAAATAATGTAAGAGGATGGAAGAAAACAGTGATTGTATAATAACAGTGCTGAATAATAGTACCTCTACATGTCCCGTATGAACATTATAGAGACATATACAAACATACACCAGACAGTAGTACAGACAATGCCCTGTGTTCAGTGTCTCTATCAAAACCCTCTGTACAAAAAGTTGTGTAGCTAAGGAGTTGAGACATTAGAAGAGGTATTTGAGGAGTGTTCTTCGAAACTGTTTCCTGCGTCGCGACCTCAGCAGCAGGCTTGTCTCCTCCTCCCCACTCTCTCCCTCTTCCCCCTCCTCCCACATCCCACCCTTTCCCTCCTTGTAGGGGCATGCCGCGGACTGTAAGTGGCGTCCATCACTTCTCACCCTCTCTCCCTCCTGTGCCACATACAATACAGGGAACCTTCTGCGCACTCTCCGTTTCACCCCATACTAAAGTCTATTTCACTTCACCTGAGCCCTCGAAAAATAGTCAATTGTAAAAACGCTAACACCATTGGAGTCCTCGCAACTTTCCCATTCTGATGACACCACAGTCAAAAGTTAGCTGTACTGATGTCCCATAAGAAAAGTATGCCATAAGTAAAGTATGTGGTGCCAGTAAAAACTGTTTACACAACCACTTCAGGGGCTCTGAATAGACTACATACCTACAGCTCTAAATAAGGTGTCACATATTCAGGTATGCAAGCACATTATCAGGCACATACATCCCAATCAAAACCTGGGAACAATATTTGACTGAGCATTAAATATTTCTGCACACTTCAGAGGGCAATTGAGACTGTGGGTAGAATAGCAACTTGCAATTAAAAGTCTGGATGAAAGTGTTTCCCATCTACAGTTGCACCATACATGCAGCTGCAGTGGTGTTTGTTCAGTTTGGTTCACAATATGTCAGCATTGCCCCGTCCCGCCATACCACATTGCTGCGTCATGAGGATAGACTATCTTCGTGACACGACGTGATGCAGCGGGGAGCAACGGGGCAATACGACGTCCAGCCTTAATTCTGAGGCCACATACCTTTCCCTTGGTTTTCAAGGCGACAATCTCCGAGGTGACGAACCCAATGAACCCTATGATGATGAAGACGACTCCAAAAGCGGCTGCTAATTGAAGGATGAACCCCTGTAATAACCAGTCCACCAGAACAGCAGCTGGAATCACTAAGATTGTCCCAACGCTGCACAAACATACATGGAATTATGTTGTATTAAACATTAATATTATGTCAGGACCTATAGCTTAGAAATAAGAAAAAGTTGCTACTGAGTAACCAACACTGTCATGGAGTCCAAATGGAGTTTAAGAGTGGCACACCAGGTAACAATATAGTGATGGGGTTGGGGGTGTCAGCATTCTCAAATATGTTCGTCAACCGCATGCTTCATGCATTCCATCCCCATCTTGTCTCCCGTTCTTTTTATACCATCCCTATATGCCTCTTTTTAAATTCTCAGGATTATTAATTTACTTGTTCATTTAGACAACCAACTCTGTTCTTTAAGCCAGTGGCACACCATAACCACAGGAGCTCGTCAAACGAAGCTGCAATTCCGTGACAGCTCCTGCGGTTCTGGTGTGGGACCTGGTCGATGAGTGGTCAATATCATTACACAGTTGGATTAGGTACAGTGGGGGGAAAATCACAATGTTTGGACAACTAGGTTAGCTCCAACTTGTCAAAGAAGTATATAGGAAGCCGTCCTATCCTTTCACTCCCCTTTTGCTATTAATTTTTCGTTCACCGCCGCTTCTCCCTACAACCCCCTCGTTCTTCACAATCTCAGCTTTTCTCGGATCTTTAAAGCCCCCAATTCATTCCCAACTTTCCCGCCAACCCTCTATACTTCTTCTATCCTCAGTGCCCGTCTATTCTATAGTTCCATTCTCCCTCACTCTCTCTTCTCCTTACTCTACCTCTCCTACCTCTCCCCTCCCTCTTCCCCGGCCCTTCCCCTGATCCTACTCCTCAATTTTTACTGTTCCCCAATCTTAAATTTTCCGGTCTTCCCTCTCATCCCTATACCTGTTCCTTCCAGTCTCTCCCCTACTCTTCCTCCGCCCCCTTCCTTCTTTTTCCCCACTCCGTCATTAATCTTGTCTTACAAACATATTAACCTACTTTACCTTTCTTTTTTAACCTACTAGATCGCAAATACGTTAGGTTTTTGTCATAAGGCTTATCGAATTCTCATTGGGGTCGCTTCAGGGTCGGGGTGTTTCGGGTCAGACGGGTCCGTCAGAGCCCTCCCTACCAAACAACTGGAGTATGTGACGTGGGTCGCGAGTTCAGAACCTGAATTCTGTGGTTGCCACAGTCAGCAACATACACCTTGCCAGTGTGAGGATGAACTGTAATGCCTTCAAGATACTGGAACTGAACAGGTCCACTGCCCAGTGTACCGACTGTTCTGAGGTGTTTGCCAGTGGACGACAACTGCTGAATACGATGGTTCCAACAGTCAGCCACAAGAATGTTTCCTTTGCTGTCTATTGCTACACCTTCAGGATGGTTGAACTGACCAGGACCTGAGCCAAGAGTACCAAATGATTTTTTCTCTCCATTTCCACTGATGATTGATAGGCAGTGACTTCCCCGTTCCGCTACTACAACCTCACCTCCCTCCCTGACAGCTATACCGTACGGCCACTTGAGGTCTCCAATGATGTTGGCTGGGGCAGTGAAGTTTGGTAGAACGGTGACAGTGAACGGACTGTTCAAGATCTGGTGCTCTTCTATTAGAATGTGTAGTTGATGTTCTCCAGTGACCTGAGGCTGGTAGCTGATGTCGTAGATGTTCTGATTTCTTCTCTTCACAGTGCCCCTGACTCGACTGCTGCCATCGCTAGCAACTAGCTCACACCTCAAGCTGTCTACAGGTCTGAAGTAGGCTTCTCCCTCCCTATCTAAAGCCTCTACAGAGACAGCCACTGTTTGCCCTCTCGTGGCTACCTTGATGCCTTCACCTGAGGCTCGACACTTCTCAGGGCACACTGGATGACAGTACACCTTACCAAACCGCTGGCAAGTCTTCACCAGTTCAGGCAGACTGTGAACAAACACCATGTCGGCTTGCTCGGCAAGAGCCAATGTCTCTGGCTTGAAGCTGCCTGTCAGGTCGTTGACTTGTTTCACGAGAGGACTCTTCATCCTCAGAATCTCCCCCTGGCTGCAAGTACGTCGGCTCTCCTCCACAAAGTCCTGGCAGCTCCTCAGCTGGCCCAGTTGCAGTTCAAACCTGTCTCGCTGTGCTGCTAAGGTCTTCAGTTTCTGCTGTGCTGTTTGCTCTGCTTGACCCACCAGCTCTGTCTCCCTTGCCTCTAGAGCTTGTCGCAGGTGTGCCATGGCAGTGCGGATTTCTGCCACCACAGCCGTCTGCAGCACATCGAGTGTCCACCGACTCAACGGCTCTTTCTAACGTAGCAATCTGTTCTTCCACTGGCTTGATAGTGTCCGCGATCACTTTCTCTTGCTTGGCAAACGACTCGGGCACCAGATCGTACTGGTGGTCGCGATGAACACGAACGATACAGTCTCGACATATCAACTCGTCGCACGTCTCGCAGAAAGAGCTTTGCCTTCTTTGACGGATGAGTGGCACAAAACAGAGTCTTCTTGAGAGGAGGAACGAGGGTTGTCACGTCCTCTGTCAAGGTGTTTAGGTCAATAAAATCGTGGGTTTTTAATTCCTCCCATTCCTGATGGAGTTCCTTGCAGCGCTGGCATGCAAACCCGTAAAGAGTACGACAAAAGCCAACTGCTTCACGTTTTGTGCACTTGTTGCACATTGTTTGTTCGCTGCAGCTCACTTTCCTGAGGGCATCTTGGATGTCGAAGAGGTAGTGGATGTAGAAGGCTCCTTGGAGCCCCTGGACTCCGCCCACTGGCAGTGGAGTGTCCTGGCGACATTGTGGACATGGGAGACTCTGTTCTTCTCGTCCCCCACGTACCAGATGTTGCAGGCACTGCTCGCAATACACGTGGAAGCACTTGAGCAGCCTCGGTTGTTTGTAGGGCTCAAGACATATCCCACAGGTGACCTGGTCCTGGATCTTCTGGAGAGCTTTCTCGGCAGCAGTGGAGGGTTTGGCAGCCATGGCTCTGTCAGAAGACTGAGGCAAGCAAGCTGCTCAAGAAATAAGTAAGCAAGGGCGGTGGGCTAACTTCAAGAAATGAGTGAAACTGAGGCTGACAGGAAACAGCCCTTGACTTTTCTGTCACTCTACCAATTTCACTATCCTAGATCCACACACTCTTGCATGCCTGGCCTTATTTGGAGATTCTAGTGAGATCATGAATACTGAAACAGGTGGTCTGATTGTAGGACTGACCAATCACATTCCCCAGTGTGTCAAACACACTGGGGAATGTGATCCAACAGGCACACTAACTGTGAGCACTGCACTGCAACACCATATGCATACTGTACATATGCATACTGGCTGGTGTCGAATGCCACGCATTTTTGGCGAGCGAGCACGAGCAGTTCAATTTTGACCCGCATTTGGAAACTGCGTTCAATTTTTAGTGCGTTTTTAGAATCACGTGACATCACGATTTGTGCAGCATTATATAAAACCCCCAAATTCAGATGACTTGTTAGGCACGCTTCGCTCCCCAATTATCACACTGCTAATTAATGGGCTGGCCAATCCCAGGCACTCCAGCCTACCGCAAGAATGTCACCCAACTGCTGCACATTACTTAAAACAAACACACATACTCGCAAACCAAGTAGTCCTCACTGCACATGCAAGTTTGAGGAGCGAAGAAGTAATGAATGCTATATATTGTTGTTCAAACAGTATGTTTATTGTAATGGAAACAATGTAGTACCCATGCGTACCAAGTTCATCTTAATGTGTGCTACGTTAGCAAGTTTTAGGAGTGAAGAAGTAATTTTAAAGAAAGTGTCTGAGGCTCTTAAAAATATAATAACATGCATGCATACCAAGTTTCATCTCCATGCATGCTACTGTTGGAGAGAAGAAGAAAAATGTCTGAGGCTATTTTTTGTTGTTTACAAACATGTAGTTATCATGCAAATATGCAAATGATGTAATACACATGCATACCAAGTTTCATCTCCATGTGTGTTACTATTAGAAAGTTTGAGAAGTGAAGAAGTCAATTTAAAGAAAAGTGCCTGAGGCTATTTGTTGTTGTTTACTAACATGTACAGTTGTGATATTGATGTTGGTGATTGAATACATTATGTATACAACGATTCGTTCACATAGCTCTTAGCATTTGTGACTTACACTGACACATGTATGCCCATTGCCAGGGGCAATTTGTTTTTGTTTACCGTAAACTAAATTGTTTACAGACAAAGAAGTATGCCTATTCTCTTTGGGCTATAGATATCTATTGTCTTACAAAATTTCGTTACTGTAATAATGCTTGTCAAGGTGTCTAGGTCGATAAATTAAAATTTTTGTTACTGTATGTTGTTTGGTTTTCGAGTTACGCGAGTCGAAGAAGAACAAAACTCCCAATCATACCAACTGTATGCTGCTAGGTACAGTATTAGTATTATAATATACCAAGTATATACAACCGTACTTAGTGATACCTTGCAAAGAGGGCGGAGGAGAGAGCAATGCAAATGAGGAGGCCGGCATTGAAAACAATGTCCAGTAGAGCGTTCCACACCAAGAGAATAAAGATATCTGTGAATACAGCGAGGAGGGAGGGAGGGAGGGAGGGAGGGAGTGAGGGAGGGAGGGAGGGAGGGAGGGAGGGAGGGAGGAGGGAGAGAAGTAAGAGGTGGAGTAGGAAATGGAGAGACCCAGACATGGACCACTATAACCCAGGACATTTCTCTGAATCCAAGTATAGTTCATCATGCAACAGCGTTTAGCTATAATATATGTATGCGTCCCACCAAATTTTAAGGATTGACTGTTTTGTTAACCTTTCACAACGATGTCAGTTAACAAAATTACCCAGCACAAACTACAGTCTGGGTTACATTCTCAAAGTCCTGCTGTGCCTGTCCCCCCTCCTGAAAAACCCTCCCTGAAATGTTAGTCACACTAGATGGCTTACCATAGGGAGGCCATTCAAATGACTCCACTCCGGAGTAATGGAGTATGAGGAATCCGGGCCAGAGCCAGGCGAGAGTGTTTATCCCGAGGTAACCAAGGAAACGGAGACTATTGGCAACAGAGGCAGGGTCTCCCTCCTCAGACCCCCATTTCTTGTAGCCCACTTCAAACACAGCATAGGAGACGACGCTGTAGAACAGGGCCTGTGTAGAGATGGAGGAGTGAGAAGAGAGAAGAAATGGGTTGAAATACTAGCTACTGTATGACTCTTTCACAAACAAAGAGGCATTTATGTATGTATGTGACGTATGGAAATCTACAGTATAACTGAACTGAACAGAATTGAGTGATTTTGTTTGATGCTTGCCCACTACGCCTTAATTGTAAAACCACTAGGTTGGCATAACTCCTCTCTAAGAACACCTCTGAAATGAGGACACCTCTCTAAGGACACCTCTGAAATGAGGACACCTCTAAGGACACCTCTGAAATGAGGACACCTCTCTAAGGACACCTCTGAAATGAGGACACCTCTCTAAGGACACCTCTGAAATGAGGACACCTCTCTAAGGACACTCCTGAAATGAGGACACCTCTCTAAGGACACTCCTGAAATGAGGACACCTCTCTAAGGACACTCCTGAAATGAGGACACCTCTCTAAGGACACTCCTGAAATGAGGACACCTCTCTAAGGACACTCCTGAAATGAGGACACCTCTCTAAGGACACTCCTGAAATGAGGACACTCTCTAAGACACTCTGAAAAGGACACCTCCTGAAATGAGGACACCCTCTCTAAGGACACTCCTGAAATGAGGACACCTCTCTAAGGACACCCCTGAAATGAGGACACCTCTCTAAGGACACCCCTGAAATGAGGACACCTCTCTAAGGACACCCTGAAATGAGGACACCTCTCTAAGGACACCCCTGAAATGAGGACACCTCTCTAAGGACACCCCTGAAATGAGGACACCTCTCTAAGGACACCCCTGAAATGAGGACACCTCTCTAAGGACACTCCTGAAATGAGGACCCCTCTCTAAGGACACCCCTGAAATGAGGACACCTCTCTAAGGACACCTCCTGAAATGAGGACACCTCTCTAAGGACACCCCTGAAATGAGGACACCTCTCTAAGGACACTCCTGAAATGAGGACACCTCTCTAAGGACACCCCTGAAATGAGGACACCTCTCTAAGGACACCCTGAAATGAGGACACCTCTCTAAGGACACTCCTGAAATGAGGACACCTCTCTAAGGACACTCCTGAAATGAGGACACCTCTCTAAGGACACCCTGAAATGAGGACACCTCTCTAAGAGGACACCTCTCTAAGGACACTCCTGAAATGAGGACACCTCTCTAAGGACACCCTGAAATGAGGACACCTCTCTAAGGACACTCCTGAAATGAGGACACCTCTCTAAGGACACTCCTGAAATGAGGACACCTCTCTAAGGACACTCCTGAAATGAGGACACCTCTCTAAGGACACTCCTGAAATGAGGACACCTCTCTAAGGACACTCCTGAAATGAGGACACCTCTCTAAGGACACTCCTGAAATGAGGACACCTCTCTAAGGACACTCCTGAAATGAGGACACCTCTCTAAGGACACTCCTGAAATGAGGACACCTCTCTAAGGACACTCCTGAAATGAGGACACCTCTCTAAGGACACTCCTGAAATGAGGACACCTCTCTAAGGACACTCCTGAAATGAGGACACCTCTCTAAGGACACTCCTGAAATGAGGACACCTCTCTAAGGACACTCCTGAAATGAGGACACCTCTCTAAGGACACTCCTGAAATGAGGACACCTCTCTAAGGACACTCCTGAAATGAGGACACCTCTCTAAGGACACTCCTGAAATGAGGACACCTCTCTAAGGACACTCCTGAAATGAGGACACCTCTCTAAGGACACTCCTGAAATGAGGACACCTCTCTAAGGACACTCCTGAAATGAGGACACCTCTCTAAGGACACTCCTGAAATGAGGACACCTCTCTAAGGACACTCCTGAAATGAGGACACCTCTCTAAGGACACTCCTGAAATGAGGACACCTCTCTAAGGACACTCCTGAAATGAGGACACCTCTCTAAGGACACTCCTGAAATGAGGACACCTCTCTAAGGACACTCCTGAAATGAGGACACCTCTCTAAGGACACTCCTGAAATGAGGACACCTCTCTAAGGACACTCCTGAAATGAGGACACCTCTCTAAGGACACTCCTGAAATGAGGACACCTCTCTAAGGACACTCCTGAAATGAGGACACCTCTCTAAGGACACCCCTGAAATGAGGACACCTCTCTAAGGACACTCCTGAAATGAGGACACCTCTCTAAGGACACTCCTGAAATGAGGACACCTCTCTAAGGACACTCCTGAAATGAGGACACCTCTCTAAGGACACTCCTGAAATGAGGACACCTCTCTAAGGACACTCCTGAAATGAGGACACCTCTCTAAGGACACCCTGAAATGAGGACACCTCTCTAAGGACACTCCCTGAAATGAGGACACCTCTCTAAGGACACTCCTGAAATGAGGACACCTCTCTAAGGACACCTAGACCCCTGAAATGAGGACACCTCTCTAAGGACACTCCTGAAATGAGGACACCTCTCTAAGGACACCCCTGAAATGAGGACACCTCTCTAAGGACACTCCTGAAATGAGGACACCTCTCTAAGGACACTCCTGAAATGAGGACACCTCTCTAAGGACACTCCTGAAATGAGGACACCTCTCTAAGGACACTCCTGAAATGAGGACACCTCTCTAAGGACACTCCTGAAATGAGGACACCTCTCTAAGGACACTCCCTGAAATGAGGACACCTCTCTAAGGACACTCCCTGAAATGAGGACACCTCTCTAAGGACACCCCTGAAATGAGGACACCTCTCTAAGGACACTCCTGAAATGAGGACACCTCTCTAAGGACACTCCTGAAATGAGGACACCTCTCTAAGGACACTCCTGAAATGAGGACACCTCTCTAAGGACACTCCTGAAATGAGGACACCTCTCTAAGGACACTCCTGAAATGAGGACACCTCTCTAAGGACACTCCTGAAATGAGGACACCTCTCTAAGGACACTCCTGAAATGAGGACACCTCTCTAAGGACACTCCTGAAATGAGGACACCTCTCTAAGGACACTCCTGAAATGAGGACACCTCTCTAAGGACACTCCTGAAATGAGGACACCTCTCTAAGGACACTCCTGAAATGAGGACACCTCTCTAAGGACACTCCTGAAATGAGGACACCTCTCTAAGGACACTCCTGAAATGAGGACACCTCTCTAAGGACACTCCTGAAATGAGGACCCCTCTCTAAGGACACCCCTGAAATGAGGACACCTCTCTAAGGACACTCCTGAAATGAGGACACCTCTCTAAGGACACCCTGAAATGAGGACACCTCTCTAAGGACACCCTGAAATGAGGACACCTCTCTAAGGACACCCCTGAAATGAGGACACCTCTCTAAGGACACCCCTGAAATGAGGACACCTCTCTAAGGACACCCCTGAAATGAGGACACCTCTCTAAGGACACCCCTGAAATGAGGACACCTCTCTAAGGACACTCCTGAAATGAGGACCCCTCTCTAAGGACACTCCTGAAATGAGGACACCTCTCTAAGGACACTCCTGAAATGAGGACACCTCTCTAAGGACACCCCTGAAATGAGGACACCTCTCTAAGGACACCCCTGAAATGAGGACACCTCTCTAAGGACACCCCTGAAATGAGGACACCTCTCTAAGGACACCCCTGAAATGAGGACACCTCTCTAAGGACACCCCTGAAATGAGGACACCTCTCTAAGGACACTCCTGAAATGAGGACACCTCTCTAAGGACACTCCTGAAATGAGGACACCTCTCTAAGAACACCCCTGAAATGAGGACACCTCTCTAAGGACACTCCTGAAATGAGGACACCTCTCTAAGGACACTCCTGAAATGAGGACACCTCTCTAAGGACACTCCTGAAATGAGGACCCCTCTCTAAGGACACTCCTGAAATGAGGACACCTCTCTAAGGACACTCCTGAAATGAGGACCCCTCTCTAAGGACACTCCTGAAATGAGGACACCTCTCTAAGGACACTCCTGAAATGAGGACACCTCTCTAAGGACACTCCTGAAATGAGGACACCTCTCTAAGGACACTCCTGAAACGAGGACACCTCTCTAAGGACACTCCTGAAACGAGGACACCTCTCTAAGAACACTCCTGAAATGAGGACACCTCTCTAAGGACACTCCTGAAATGAGGACACCTCTCTAAGGACACTCCTGAAATGAGGACACCTCTCTAAGGACACTCCTGAAATGAGGACACCTCTCTAAGGACACCCCTGAAATGAGGACATCTCTCTACGACACCTCTCTCTGAATGCGGAGGCACCTCTCTAAGACACCTCTGACAACATGAGGACACTCCTCTCTAAAGACACGCCTTTGCTTGCCTCCACCTGTTTACACTACCATGAGTGACACTAAAGGGTGGCTCCTGCATATCGTTGCCGTGTATCAGACTCAAGTCCAGACGAGTGTACACAGTAGATATCACGCGATGTAACCGAGATCATCGTGCATGATCTATTGAGATGGTTAGGTAAATCCTCGAAAGGTGATGAAACTCTTGTGTGGAGAGATAAACTGAAATAAAATCCGAGAGGCAAACCTCTTCCACCAACACATCTGTACATGTAGCCACAACTTCACATACTCAATGGGAGGCAGCATCAGTGGCTAGTACTGGAACGAATTTGCAACACCTGTGGCGACCAACGAGGTGCGAACTATTTGCGTAGTATAGCACGCGTATAAACATTACGGTATGTGCAGCACCGTTGTGTATGTTACTATAATATCCTGCAAGACACGTCGCGAGCCAATTATGATGACATGCTTTCCCAAACCAATACACCACATTTCAGTCAGAGGCTCCACCGTCTCCTCCTCCTCCTTTCCTCTCCCACCTAACAACTACATACTCCCCTCTCTAGGTGCTAAGGTTCACAATATGTCACATTGCCTCCGTTGCGCTGTGCTGCGTGCCGCGCCGCTGAGGATAGACTCCATTTCGATCTTCGTGACAGGACGTGACGGGGCCATATTGTGAACCTGAGCTTAAGAGTAGCCCCTCCCCACTAACAGATGTATCCAGGGAAAGTACTCTTCTCTGGCTAGGAGTACCTCCTCTGTGGATGTGAGACGCCAGCTTCTGAGATATGGTGCGAGAGTTAGCGGCTGTTTGCCTTGGTCACAGCTGTGCTACACACACGACACAAAACCAACTACGTACACAAGTAGTGAGACAGTGCAACCTCTGACCAAGGGACGCTATGAGACAATGATTGTGTCCCTTGTAGAGAGGTCGTCCCTATCTCGGAGGTCAAAAAATACACTAAAGTATTAGCATGGGGTTGAAACAGTGTCCTTTGTAGAGAGGTCGTTTCGGAGGGTCCCTTATCGGATGTTCCACTGTATATAAACTAACGCCAGCATTCTTGGGCAAGAGTGAGAATGCGGTAGGATAGACAGCGTGTAACTCGGGACAGGCGGATAACTGATCAGTACTATTTATAGTAAGCATGAAGTGCGAAACTTTTGTACTATTCCTGCAGCCACATGTGAGTATGGATGTGAATATTCCACCCGTTCTATGGGCGTCTATTGAGTTACACATTCTTTCCCCTCACACGCTCTATTACACACTCGTGGTTTCTGGAACCTCCCACTAGAGGTTACCTGGGTCCTCTAGTGACCATGAGAGACGTGGTAGAGTTGACTGGCGATGTGTGGTTGGAGACTGCGCTACTGCTGAGTGACAGGAACTGATGTGGAGTAAACAGCCACTAGAACCACTCCACCACTGACACCACCACCGCCACGATCTGGGGGAGGGGGAGAGGGGGGAGATAATAGAGGGAGGCTGTAGTAGTTTGGTAACTAATTGACACATTTCCTTGGATTGCCCACAGACTGGAGGATTCACTGCAGGTGCTGGCAGAAAGGAGAATCCACTACCAACACTGCAAAGGACGATTCATGCTAGGTGCCGCAAACGGAAGATTTACTGCCAGTCCTTGCAGTTGCACATGGACTATGATCCATGATTTTACACTAGTGACCAATACTGCAGTTCAAAAATGACATTAGTCACTAGACCCGTATCCTCTACTGAGTGCGGGTCTGGGTATATACAAGACTGGAGGGGTGGATAGAAAGGACTACAAAGGATGGTACACGAATTTCTTTTGGTACATACATAGTACCTTATAGCCTCCAAAACAATCCACTTGTGCTGGCATAAAGAGCACCAAAAACGTGACAATGGTGTGTACCTACCTTGAGGACAGTGACCCTCTCTCTGAGGAGAAGATGGAGAAGAGAAGACCCCACGCAGCTGCCTGGTAGATAGCTGTATTGTGCTGGTTAACTGCAGCCACACACATCCACACCAGAGTAACAGACGTACACATACACATATACACACAGTAACATGATGCACACATACACATATACACACTCATGACTGGAAATCGATGTGTTCTGTGTGGCTCTACACGTGCAACAGACCCTGGAGCCTCTTTTCACCGTTCCCCCGGCTGAAAAATGGCAAGAGTGAGGTGGATTGCAAATCTACAGCTAGGTGCTGACGCCATATTCTCGGCTGTGTAGCCGACGCTTTCCTGGTGGAGACCCGAGCAAGGAGCCTCAGCTTAACCTGGGAAAAGAGGCTCCAGGGTCTGTTGCACGTGTAGAGCCACACAGAACACATCGATTTCCAGTCATGATACTAACAACTATCCTTTCTCAACCCAGATCTCCGCGCAGGAATAAGCTAGAGCATCCGTTCTTTTTCTCACGCATACTACAGTTACTGTAATATCGCAAAAGTAACTAATAAATACAGCATACCGTAAAAGCTACGTGCTGCGCCACTCTAAGTACGGACAGTTCCATTTTCCCCGTAGAATGCAATACATTGCTGGAGCCCGAACAAGACTCTGGATGTGACGTCACGTTCAATTATCTCGCCCACTTTACATGCCATGCATACTTTTGCATTCGTGAAAGTGGTCTATACTCTTCTACATGGCCCAGATCCTCTTCTCCATGTGAAAGTCTGGCTGTTGGCACTTACACCAGACCCTCGTTCTCAGTTAAAGTCTGGCTGTATGGCATATACACAGTTTTTGTGGTTTGTTTTGGTTTGTGTTTTGTGGTTGGTGTTGGTTTGTTTTGTGAAGTCTGGCCTGTAATGGCACTATACACCGGACCCTCGTTCTCCATGTGAAAGTCTGGCCTGTATGGCACTATACACCATAGCCTCTTCCTCCATTTTGAAGTCTGGTTGGTTTGTTTTGTGGTTGGCTGTATGGCTATTATACCAGACCCTCGTTTTCCATGTGAAGTCTGGCTGTATGGCACTATACCCAGCCCTCGTTCTCCATGTGAAAGTCTGGCCTGTATGCCTATGCACAGACCCTCGTTCTCTTGTGAGTCTGGCTTGTTTTGTGGTATGGCACTATACACCAGACCCTCTTTCTCCATGTGAAGTCTGGCCTGTATGGCACTATCGCCAGACCCTCTTTCTCCATGTTAAAGTCTGGCTGTTGTACTATACACCGACCCTCCTTTCTCCATGTGAAAGTCTGGCTGTAATGGCACTATACACAGACCCTCTTTCTCCATGTGAAGTCTGCCTGTATGGCACTATACAACCAGACCTTCTTTCTCCATGAACGTCTGGCCTGTATGGCACTATACACCAGACCTTCTTTTTCCCATGTGAAAGTCTGGCCTGTTATTGCACTATACACCAGACCCTCTCCTCCATGTTGAAAGTCTGGCCGTAGGCACTTACACCAGACCTCTTTCTCCTGTGAAGAGTCTGGCCTGTATGGCACTATACACCAGACCCTCTTCCTCCATGTGAAAGTCTGGCCTGTAGGGCACTATAACACCCGACCCCTCTTCCTCCATGTGAAAGTCTGCCTGTATGGCACTATCCAACCAGACCCTCTTTCCTTCTCCAGTGAAAGTCTGGGCCTGTAGGCACTAACACCGACCCTCGTTCTCCCATGTGAAGTCCTTGCCCTGTCAATGGCACTATACACCAGCCCCTTCTTCCTCATGTGAAAGTCTGGCCCTGTATGGCACTATCAACAACCCCAGACCCCTCTTTCCTCCCATGTGAAAGTCTGGCCTGTAATGGCCTATAGCCCCAGACCCTCGTTCTTCTCCATGTGAAAGTCTGGCCTTATGGCACTATACACCAGACACCTCGTATCTCCATGGAAAGTCTGGCCTGTATGGCACTATACACCAACCCTCGTTCTCCTGTGAAATCTGGCCGTATGCAACTATACCCAGAACCCTCGTTCTCCATGTGAAAGTCTGGCTGAGATACTAAAGCTACTACGACGCGAAACCGCCATACAACACAATGTTAGGTTGTCAATCAATTTGTGAACACACTATGACTTGGTTCATTTGCCCTTCAGGACCAGCATGTTTCACATTTTCACATTTTCCACAACGGTGCCCAGGTGTAATCCAGGCTCTGTGGACGTATGTATGTTACTAAGAATATAAACTTCTATTCTTTGTGGCGGCACAAAATGCCCACAATGTCTGATGGTGAGTCGGGTCTACCCCGTGGGTGAGGAGAGAGCGGCGTGGGAGACGCTAGAAGAGAAAGTTACTCCACCCTTTAGCATTGCACTGCAAAGCAGAGACAGAGGCTCACTTGGCAGAGAGTAGTATATACCAGGCATAGGGCTAGGGCTATCTCAGTATTGCACTGCAAAGCAGAGACAGAAGCTCACTTGGCAGAGAGTAGTACCAGGCATAGGGCTAGGGCTATCTCAGTATTGCACTGCAAAGCAGAGACAGAGGCTCACTTGGCAGAGAGTAGTATATACCAGGCATAGGGCTAGGGCTATCTCAGTATTGCACTGCAAAGCAGAGACAGAAGCTCACTTGGCAGAGAGTAGTACCAGGCATAGGGCTAGGGCTATCTCAGTATTGCACTGCAAAGCAGAGACAGAAGCTCACTTGGTTCTGGGCAGAGAGTAGTACCAGGCATAGGCGGAGGAGAAAGAGATGAAGGACAGCACAGCTGAGGTAATCATCAGCTGCCTCGTCCGCCCCGCCCACACCCCTTCCCCGGCTCTCGTACACGACGTGGTCCTGGGGAGAAGACTGAGGGAGGGAGGAGGGTTTTAGTGGTGATGTAATGGTGACATCATCAGAAACTCACAGCCACAACTGCCAGACAATGTAGAGGAGACTGTACCCGAAGCCATGGACCCAGTAGGTGATGAAGAATGGCTGGAGGAGGGGTGAGGGGAGGAGGAGAGGGATTGAGGGAGGGAGGGAGGGAGGGAGGGAGGGAGAAAAAGGGAAAACGAAGTGGTAAGAGTCAGAAAGAAGGATGAGGACAACAGTACGATAAAGAGCCCTACACTTGGTCTGTTGTCCTACTAAAGTCCTGCTAGTATCTTCTCATGATAGATATAAATAGAGGAATGCTGTTTGCGAGTGAGCCCGAGAAATTCAATATTTCACGCTTGGTGGCTGTCGATGATCTAGAATCACGTAGAACATTATGGTATGTGTGGCATCGCCGGATAGAAAATAGGCCTGTTGACATGACTAGGTAGGCATGCTTCGCTCGCCAATTACTGCAACATTCTGGCTGTGTTGCCACAGCCTTCCTTGGGCAGATCAGATCAGAGAATACTGTAACAAGAAAGCCGCCATTCTATAGCTAGACTTTAGGACGAGAAAGAGATTGACACCAAACTGGCTCTTATGGGGGTCAACGGAGGACATTGGCAAAAAACTTTCTTCAATTTCTCACAATTTTATCAAGCAGGATATGTTATTGCGGTACAAGCACTCTAGTAACAGTTTTCTCCGTGTGTTTGCCCCGTTGGATATTCGTACCATACCCGCAATGGTGCCTTAAAGGGTATGTGGCAGTATAATATGGGCTAAATTTTTGAAATGTTACTAAAAAAGGAAGCATAATTGCACACTGCATGGCCTCCATCTTATGTACTGCCACATTCCCTACTCTACGTTATTTGCCACGTAGCTACAAATCCAAGACTTGTGGTTCACCTTGCGGTATTCCTTGTTCACTTTCTGCAGCTTCTCAGCCATGATCACCCCTGCAGCATCATGCAGACATACAACATGATACTCAGTTGGGACTGCATAATGTAGTGGTTGGGAGAGTATGATATATCTATCCACTCTGCTTCACTAGATAGTATGGTGGAACCTCCTCTAAGGACACCCTCTGACATGAGGACATAGGACACCTTTCAAGAACAGAACCGCTGGAGATAAGGACACCTCAATCATATGGTCCCAATTGCTGGCTGGGGTGGGCTAGGTTCCACCTGACCAGCTGATCCAACAGAAATATACAACACAATGGTCAACTAAGATATAAAATACCGCGCGTTACTACGGTGCACATGAAACGGCCCGGTCTCGTGAACACGGGAAAGAGACTTACACGAGACGATAGCAGCCAGGATAGCGAAGCCAGCTCCCAGGAACCTCAGGAAGGCCCCACTCACACGGAGCCTCCGTCGACCTGACGGCACGCCGGGCTCGTCGATCGGAACGTAGCCATTCCTTGCACCTTGTATCATCTCTCCGCGTCTCTGAGAGCTAGTGCTGCAACCTAGCTGCCTCCACCCAATTCAACCACATGACGACATATCCACGCGCGGAGTGTGATCGATTGCGCATGCTTATTATACGAGCCACTCGCGCATCGCGCAGCCGGCCAGCAGCGCGCACCATAACCTAGGTGCAATCAATTGACATATGTACGTCATATGGCACAACAACATAAAAAATTCAACAAAATTCACGATTCAGTTCGTCTGCTAGTCTAGTTTCATTCACAGAAGGGGACTGAAGGGCAGAGACGAGTGTAGCCCATGTGAATGGTTTACTGAGAGACTGTTTCCAATGGTCCATAACAGCCATGAATCTGTCGAAACTGTCGTCTTCGTCTTTTTGAATAGCCCTTATCTCTCCTCGACTCAACTCCAACTGACGGCCACTTTCTTCCACTTGTCGGGAATGACTGCTGCCACCCGGTTTGCAAGGACACTCATTGCAGGGGCTGACTCACCTGATGAGCCTCCTCCTGCACCTAGACAAAATGTAGCAGGAAACAATACACTTGAGTTCAAGAAGCAGTTGCTTCATCCTAACGTCATCACAGCATTTGGTCACCGCAGTGCAGGAATGCCAATCAAGCTTTATTGGTAGGGACCGCTCGAAGACGCAGCCATGCTCAAGTTATGATGCTCGAAGACACAGCCATAAAAAATTATGTTTAGCTAAAAGAATAATATGAGAGGAAAAGAAAGAACCCTTAAACCACCCAAATTAATATAAAAACTCTGAAACTTACGCAGTACGACGATGCAATGCTCAAGTTAAGACGCTTGCTCAATCGCCTTAACAATACCACTAGTATACTACAGGCTCACCTGATGTACTGAGCCAAAGGGTCTGGTCAGGGGTGAGGCTGTCAAATACTCCTTTGTTCTCTGAACATATCCACTGCTTTTTATTGCTTGAAAGGCGGGCCACGTGTAGTTCTGTCGCTGCACGACTCGTCCTGTTGGGGGCAGAGGAAAGCTGTTGTCACGTGAGTGTCTTCGTGATGTGTGTTCTTCAGAGCTGCTTCAACTGCTGCTAGGATCTCTGACCTGATGGCCTGGCAGTGCTCGCTCAACTGGTCCCCCTGCATCTTACTGGTATCAACATTGACACACACCACAAAAGAGGAAAACTTATCAATGAAAGTCACCGAACCAGGCCGGTCGATTTTATCAAACTCGATGCAGTTGCGCGACAAGGAAGAATGAGATGCACTGGAACCTTTGCTTGGTGGAGGGAGAGGTAGCTTATTCTCCTTCAAGCCCGAGGAGGCATTGGTTGCAGCAGAAGCTCTGCTTTGTGGTTTTATGCGTCTGTTTTCCACCACCTCCCAGCCAGAGTGGGACTGCAGGTGGCACACACTGCAGCAGTAGACACCGGGAGGAGCCCAGCCAGTGGGGAACTCCACCACCAGAGCTGCTATCTTGGTCCTACTGCACGTTTCAAGGCATTCACTGATCTTTTCTTCAGTTGTCATGTTGAGAATGGCAGGAAAGAAGTATTCAGTTCTAGACAGTTGGGAAACCACGAGGCTCTTTTCAAGCAAGACAAGAAAATCTCTGGCTGTGAATATTCCCTCCACATAGTGGTTCTTGAAGTCCTCAAGGAAATCAAGAGTGAGGATTCCGTTGTCGCGAAACTTCTGCCAGTCCCCTGTGATTGCATTATCAGCTGCTTTCGCTGGATCAGCCACGGCAGCATTCAGATGGTACTGCTTCTCCACCAGTTTTGAGAGTTTGTCCAGAGGCACTTGAGCATTGGTAAAGACGACTTCGGGAAGAATGGTCTTCTTGTAGAGGAAGATGTTCAACTTGTCAAAGAAAGTAAGGGCAGCATCAAGTTCCCCTTCAGGGAAACCGAGTGAGTCTGACACGTGATTGGCTTCTTGCTTACTCAGTACCTCTCTCCCCAGTTTGAGGGCCAGAGCCTCTAGGATGAGCTGGAGAATGAACCACCGGATTGGAATCTTGTGCTGCTTGGCACCCTTCTCGATGCAGGCTCTGATTTTGGCTGCTTCCTTTTTGTCATCGCTATCAGGATTCTTGGTGTTGAGTTGGAACACGATATCCTCCATTCCTTCGTTGCAGTAAACAACGTCATCTTTGAAATGGGGTGATGCAATGGCTGCAAATTTTCGGTTCTTCTCCTCAGGGGTTTCCTCGCAATCTCCAGCCATGTCTCTGTGAGTGCCGACTGTGATGATCTTTGAGTGTTCCCCTCCTTTATGGAGCCCTTGAAGCATTGTCTTGAAGGCCTCGGCAGTGGTGAGTGTGGCTCTCTGGCTGGGGCCAACCTGCTTCCCTCTCTGGTAGAGATCGTTGCGAGGGTGTTCATCAAGTTTCTCACACAGCCGGTGGACAAACAGAGTGGCTGTGTTGTCAAAGTTGAAGATAGGGGTGAGGTCCCAGTAGGCTTGCTGGCCTCCACTGTCGGTCAGGTAGATCAGATCCATGTCCAGGAGACGACGTGACTTTTTCCCACCCCTCACGAGTTGAGTGAGCTTTTGAATGACTTTGCTGATTGTGACTGTCCTTTCCTCGGCACTGGCAGTGCTGGGGTTAGTTTCTGTGTTACTTTCTTTTGACTCTGTTTTCTCTTCCTTGAGGCCTTCGCCAAGTTCTCCTTCCTTATCCACCCCAACTACTCCATCTTCTCTCTTTTCACCATCTTCAACCACACTCTGTTCCTCCCCAACACCTTCCCCCACCACTTCAGACAGAACCTCAGCTAGCTTGTCCATTCCCTTTCCTTTGGCCTTCAGCTCCTCATACAGAACTGGGACTGCCTCTGCAATCATTTCCTCAAATTCTATTGTGGGAATTTCACTCCATTCTCCTGATTCTTTGCCGATACGAATGACTCGGATTGATCTCTCAGCACAGCCAGTGCTAGTTCTTTGGTCTGGTGGGTGCTTGCTGAGCAGGAGGTAGAGAAGACAGGTTTTACCAACACCGGCAGGTCCTACCATCACCACTTTCACCAGCTTGACATAGACATAGCCTTGTTTCATTGCTTCTTTTAGATATTCACTGGACTCATCTGTGATATATATATGAGGTTTCATATAGGTTAAAAGGAATACTGGCATAAGGGCTAAATAAAATAGAAACTGTTTCCCAAAATGGATAATAAATAAGTAACATTCTTGAACTGGGCCCTATTGTTCTATCTTTAGTAACAGTGCTAAATTTATCCACTGACACATTCCCATTAAGGAGCTATGATAGGGCCCACATACGCAATGTGAAATTCTACCCAGACATCACCATGCACCAGGTACAATAAGTCAATTCTCAAGCTGAACGAAAATTATTGAATTATGTTGCATGTATTTGCTATTATACTCGACTTCCAGTATGCATGAAAACTTTGTGCAGGTGTCAGATTCTGATACGTGTTAAAAAGTAACTTACCTTCTCCTAGAGTAATACTCAGATAAAGAGTATCCCGGCTCTGAACACCGTAGTCTCTCAGGGTCCGGTTATCTTCCAATATTGTATTCTTGAACTGGAGTTGTTGTTGGTCTGGTGGTATTCCCTCCTTGTCCTGGATTTTTGTCTTCACATTCTCAATGGTATCAATGGCCTCCACCTTAAGAGTGATGGTCTTGCCTGTGGGAGTCTTCACATATATCTGATAACCTTCTATTCGCCGAAGAACAAGGTGAAGAGTAGACTCATGCTGAATGTTAGAGTCACTCAGGGTCTGTTCATCTTTCAGTTTCTTTACCAGCAAATATGAGTCGTTGTTGGTCTGGTGGCATTCCTTCCTGGTCTCTAATTTTAGCCTTCACATTCTCAATGGTATCACTGGCCTCCACCTCCAGAGGGAATGATCTTGTTTGTCAGCGTTCTCACAAATATTCCCATCCCTCTCTCTACCTTCCAGACCAGCTGAAGAGTGTCCTCATGTTGGACACCACAGTCACTTAGGGTTTGACCATCTTCCAGCTGTCTGCCTTTGAGGACAAGTTGTTGTTGCCTTTGGGGAATCCCAAATTTTTTCTGAATTTTATTCTTCACAGTTTCAACAGCATCATTGGCCTCTACCTCTAGGGCCATGGTTGAGTGTGGTGTTTCAAGAAACACTCCCATACCCCTCTCTACATGCCAAACCAACTGAAGAGTGTCTTCACACTGGACATTGTAGTCACTCAGAGTCTTTCCATCTTCTAGCTGCTGGCCATTGAAGACAATTTGTTGTTGGTATTCAGGTATCCCCCGTTTGGATTTAAGCTGGATTTTTGTCCTCACATCATTAATGGTATCACTGGCCTCCACCTTAAGAGTGATGATCTTGCCTGTGGGAGTCCTCACAAATACTTCTATTGGCCAAAGAACAAGGTAAAGAGTAGACTCATGCTGAATGTTATAGTCACTCAGGGTCTGTCCATCTTCCAGGTCTTTACCAGCCAATATGAGTTGTTGTTGGTCTGGTGGTATTCTCTCCTGGTCTTTAATTTTAGCCTTCACAGTTTCAATGGTATCACTGGCCTCCACCTCCAGA